GGCGGAGGGGCGAGGAGAGAGCAGAGGAGGGGGAGGGCCTGCTCGGCGCCGCCCGCCGCAGCCGCGTGGACGGCGGTCAAGCCAAGCTCGTCCGTCGCGTCCGCGCGCGCTCCCGCGGCCCGCAACAGCTTCACCCCCTCCGCGCCGCGGCCCGCCGAGTGCGCGGCGAGCATCAGCGGGGTGAGCCCGCCTACCGCACCACCCACGGAGCTGAACCCTCCCTGGATTCGACCACTCTGGAGGTAGGGGGGTGAGTCCGCCTCTCGCGACTGCAGACGCGTCCGCGCCAGCGGCGAGCAGCAGCCTGTGGGTTCGGTACCGTGGGGGTAGGGGATGGGCTCGGGTACCCTGAGGTGGAGGGCCGGGGAGCACCAACCCGATCGGTGCGACGCGGTCCCGCGCGGCGGCGTGGTGCAGCGCCGTCCAGCCGGAGCGGTCCGCTGCGGCAGCCGCGGCGCCCGAGTCTAGCAGGAGCGACAGGGCGCGCGTGCGGCCGCAACGCGGGTCGGCGCAGCCGCAGGCGCGCACGGCATAAAAGAGGGGCGTCCAACCGCGCCGGTCGCTCGCGTCGGCATTCGCCCCGCCCGAGAGGAGCACCTCGATCGCACGGGCCACGTGAGAGGGAGAGAGAGAGAGGGAGAGAGAGAGAGAGAGAGAGAGAGAGAGAGAGAGAGAGAGAGAGAGAGAGAGAGAGAGAGAGAGAGAGAGAGAGAGAGAGAGAGAGAGAGAGAGAGAGAGAGAGAGAGAGAGGGAGAGAGGGAGAGAGGGAGAGAGAGGGAGAGAGAGGGAGAGAGAGAGACCCGCCCGAGAGGAGCACCTCGATCGCCTCGGAAGCGTCCCGCGCGGCCGCGGCATGGCATGCGGTGCGGAGCCGCTCGTCACGCGCGTCGGGGGAGGCGCCTAGCCGACACACGAGCCGCGCGGTGGCGAGGAGCGCCGCCCTGTCTGGACACGTCCCCGGCCGGAGCCGCGTCGCAACGCGGGAGAGAGGCACCGTGCGAGAGCATGGCCGCCGCAGCCTCGGCCGCGTTTGCCCAGCCGGCGAGCTGGAGCGGCGGGACACCGTGCGCTCCTCGCGCCTAATTAAGTGCTCATTAGCTGCTAATTCGCACTGAAGGAGCGGCGGGACACCGTGCGCTCCTCGCGCCTCGGGCGTGGCGCCGGCGTCGAGCAGCAGCGAGGTGAGCTGCGGCTGGTTGAGTCCGCAGGCGGCATGCAGCGCGGTGACGCCGTTCGTGTCAGGCGCGTCCACCTTGTTAGGGGTAGGGGTAGGGGTAGGGGTAGGGGTAGGGGTAGGGGCAGGGTCAGGGTCAGGGTTAGGGTCCAGGGTCAGGGTCAGGGTCAGGGTCAGGGTCAGGGTTAGGGTTAGGGACCAGGGTCAGGGTAAGGGTAAGGGGCAGGGTAAGGGTCAGGGTCAGGGTCAGGGTCAGGGTCAGGGTTAGTCCAGGGTCAGGGTAAGGGTCAGGGTTAGGGTAAGGGTCAGGGCCACCTTGGCGCCGCCCGCGAGCAGCTCGCGCATGCAGCCGGGCGAGCCGTCGCCGGCGAGGACCGCGAGGTGCAGCGGCAGCACGCCCGCCTCGCCCGCCGCCACCTCTGTCTGGGCGCCCGCGCCGACCAAGCACTTTACCCGGTCCTCGTCCTGCTCCAAGACCGCGTGGTGGAGGCGGCAGAGGCCGTCCTCGTCGGGACTGGCGAGTGCCGCAACGAGCACCGACTGGAGCCGGTCCAGCGCCTTGGACACCGGCCGCGGACCCGGCCTCGACGCCTCTCGCGCGAGAGCGCCTTGTAGCTCCAGCTCCGCCTCGAAGAGGCGCTCTCGCGCCGTGGAAAGCTTCTGCAGATCTGGCCCGCCACTCCGGCGGTTGGGCGGCGAGCCCGAGGTGGCGGCTGCCGCAGCGAACCCCAGGGCCAACATGCCAGACGAGAAGCCGCGACGACCCGGCAGCACGTGTGCTCGTTCTTCTCCTTCGAGCGAGCGAGGGCGGCCAAAGAAAACTCCATAGTTAAAATTCTTTTTCCCCACGCGGCAGCTCGGATTAGCCATCGACATAGCCATCTGGTGATGCGTTTCGTCGTCACTCTCTCCCTCGCCACGCTGGCCAGCGCCTTCACGCTGTCTCCCGCTCTGCCGCGCTCCTGCGCCTCCGCGCGGCCGCTCGGCGCGCCTCCGGCCGCTGCACTCCAGCCTTCGCGCAGCCCGGCGCCGGCGATGGGCCTCTTTGGTCTGGGGTGGCCCGAGCTGGGAGTGATAGGGGTCGCCGGGCTCTTCCTCTTCGGGCCTGAGCGCCTAGCCGGGCTCGCAAAGGATCTCGGCAAGCAGTCCGCAGGTCTCAAGGAGGTTGCCGAGTCGTTCCAGGAAGGGTGCGCGTATAGCGGCCCGCCAAGGGGGAGGTGGGGTAGCGCCCGTGCTCACGCTTCACCGCCACCGGCACAGGATGGCGGAGGCGGAGGCGATGCCCAACCTCAAGTCGGCGGAAGCGGACGACCCTCCTCGACTTGAGAAGGTGGCAGAGGAGGAGAAGCAGGACGCGAGATGAAGGGCGTGGCAGCGTCCCGGCCGTCCGTCATACTTTTGCGGGCCAGTGTGATCGTGTGGCCTCGACGGCCCAGAGCTAGCATGGCATGCCGCCAGAAGGGGTAGAGAAGCGCGCTGGCAGTCTTGTGTGGGCTGTGGCCTGCGCGCGCCCAAGCGCGGCTAGTGGAGGCTGGAGCGTGAGCTGTCTCAGTCTAAGACAAGTCTCAGTCTAAGAAGGTTGTCGTGGCCGCCACACGCCACAACAGTCAACTGACAACTCGACGTTGTGGTGTATAATACCTCGCGTGAGCCCGTGGTGAAGTCTGAAAAGACGCTCTGACGGCGCTAGTGATATATAGTCCCACGGTCCCCCGTCGCGCGTCGCCGTCGAATGGACGACCCCCGGCTACGGCTCTAGTCGCCGACCACGCACCCACAAAGAACCCCCTGCACAAAGATCGCACGGGCGGGGCGGACCTGTTCCTTTTTCCCAATCTCACAGTAGAGGTGTCCGTTTTATTTATTTATTTGAGCCCACGTGACGTGCGTGCAACACCCACAAAGAACCTTGCACAAAGACGACCGGGACCGCAGGGCGGGGACCTGTTCCTTTTTACCCATCTCCTAGTAGAGGTGCCCGTTTTATTTCTTTATTTATTTGCGTGCGCGACCGGGCGACCGCGAGCGCGGCCGCGCTCTCACGAGCCACAAAGCTCCCTCCCAATCCACAGTACACCGGGGGTAGACCGTCGGTCTCTCAACGACAGACTGGGTCTCACTCAATCTCAAACATCGCAGGGCGGGGCGGCGACGGCGACGCGGCCGGCAGAAGCCACCGCACGCCGGGGTGAGCTTTGGCGTGCTCGACCCACTCCGCCGGACTCTTCCCCACCGCGGGGCACTCCCTCGCGTGGGCTCCCATTAGCGCGCGTGGCAATCGCAGCGAGCAGCCGTACCTGCAGAGCTCTCCGGCGCTCGGGCAGACGGAAACGTGGCGCGAGAGCGCCTCCCGCTTGACGAGCAGACCGCACGCGTCGCAAGGCAGCTGCTTCATCGGGCAGACCTCTTCGTGCGCGCCCGACGCGACCTCACCCGCCGTCGTTGGCAACCCGCACCCGCGCTCGCACTGCACGGGCCTCCTCTCGCAGATTGCGTGATGCTCCTTGTGCTTGGCGATGACAAGCACCTCGCCGCAGCCGTGCTTGCAGGGCCGGAGCCTCTGCGGACAGGTCGTGGCGTGCGATGCCGCCCGGTCGCGGCTCGCGAAGAAGGTGCAGCCCGCGTTGCAGCAGCCGACGTGGTAGCGCTTGCAGACACTCGCGTGGCGCGAGAGCAAGCCTGTGTCCGTCCACGGCAAATGGGCGCCGTCGGGATCGGCAGCGAGAGCGGCGCCGGCGTCGAAACAAGCGAGCGCGAGATCGGCCGCCTGAGGAGGACCGCTAGTCGTGAATCGCTAGTTGTCGCGGAACCTCTCGGTTAGCAAGCCGCGGGCCCAGAGCAGCAGCAAGCGCGTGCGGCGGCCGCCGTAATCGAGGCTGATCTGCTCGCTCGTCGCAGCCGGCGGCGGCAAGCTAAACGCAGACGGGCAAAGCTCGTGGCACTCGCGCAGCTGCGCCGCGTCGGCACCCACTGGGACGAGTATTCCTCGCACGTCTGAGCGCTGCCGGAGTAGGCTCCCCAAGAGCCGCAAGAGCGGCCGCACCTCTCGGTCGCCACCTCGCACAAAGCAGAGCGCGAGCAAGCGCGGCTCGCCCTGCAACACCGCTCCGACGCGCACAGACTCCTCAGGAGCGGCGCCGGGCGTTGCGAGTAGCCCCTGCGAGCCTAGGAGCCGCTCGACGCGCCGCTGGGCCGCTGTCGCGTCAAACGCCGCCACCGGCCGGGGCGGCGCCTGCCCACACGGCTTGCACACCGCAGAGGGCCTCGCGGGCGTCTCCTCTCGGCCGGCTGCCTCGCCCGCCTCGCCCGCCTCGCGCTGCCGGAAGCGCAAATCCCTGACCGTGACCCTTTGGCCACACCTACAGGCACAGACACAACCCTCGGTGGAGGGGGCTCGCTCACGTCAGGCGCACGAGGGAAGAAGCGGGAACCCATACGGGCATGGCTGGGTTCGGAGCGGGCACGACGCGTCGTGCGCCGACAGCAGCCCCATCGCCACGATGGCTCCACACGCCCGGGGACACGCCACCCTCCGTTGTTGGCACGACGACTCGTGCTCTGCAAGCAGGTGGTGCGGAACCTCCTCGCGGCAGTGCGAGCAGCGCGCCACGCCGCAGGGGCAGCGGAGCCGGTGCAGCTCGCGCTGTGGAGCGGCGAGGGCGAGCACCGCTCGCGGCCGCCGCACGGGAATCTCCTCGCCATAGGTCTTGGACCGGCCGTCGTGGTCCACCTCCTGCCGCGTCACGGTCGCAGCGCTCAACGAAGCGGCTCGAACGACCACCTCCCTGCCCTCGGCGTCGGTGAGCGCGCCACACCTCGTGCACCGTGGAGCCGTGTACGTGGGGCAAAACGTGCAGTGCCTTTGGCGCTCGTTGCGCGCAACCAAAGCTCCGCAGCCGTGCTCGCAAGGGAGCGGCTGAAACATGCACACGTCCGCGAAGTGCCTGCTCAGCATCGATCGCGCCCCGCGCCAGCCGCAGCCGCCGCCGTCTCCGTCGCCAGCTCGGTGGGGGCATGGCACCTCCCTCTCGTCCCTCTCCACAAATCGCCATGCTGATAGGACGGCTCGCATCAAGCACTCGCGGCTGTGTGACTGCAAAAGCGCGCGGGGCACCGCCTCTCCACAGCGACGGCAGGTTTGTAGAGCCGCTGGACACTCGGAAGAACCCGCGTGCCGTGACATCAGGAAGCGCGGCTGGACGCCACCGCAGCGTTGGCACGCAATGGGCAGAGCGGCGCAGACCGTGTCATGAATCGCCTGACCTGGCCACTCCCCCCGCGTCACTGAGATGCCGCAGTTGCGCTGGCAGGTGGCGGGTGCATGCGGGCAGGTCTGGACGTGCGACGCGAGGTCCGCCCTGGGAAAGGTAGAGTCGCAGAAGCTGCAGACCGCGGTTGCCGCCGGGCACATGTAATCGCGGTGGAACTCCAAGTCGCCGCGGGCAATCAACCTGCCGCATCCCAAGTTGCCGCACGGGAGCAACTTACGCGGGCAGTTGGCGTTGTGGGCCTTGCTCTCCCGCCGAAGCACCACGGCGCCGCAGTCCTCGCACTCGTAGTTGAAGTACGGGCAAGCGTCTTCGTGCGCCTTCAGGTCTGCGGCACTGGTGCTCGTGAACGTGCACCCGGCGTTGGGACAGCGCATGGCGCGCGGCTGATTCTCGGCGTAGCGCACAGCTCGGGCATCGCAAAAGACGCCCGTGTGGAAGCGGCACCCGCCGCGCGCGGCAGAGCGGCGCAAGTCTGACACGGCTACCACGTCAAAGCACTGCGTGCAGAGGATGTGCTGCGTGTCTCCGCAGGTCTGACACTCTCGATCCCCCGGCACCTTGGCCGCACCGCACACTGGACACTCTTGATCGAGAGGCAGCTGGAGGCTGTGGCGGCCGCTGGTGCATCCAGTCGTCGCGTCGTGGGCCTGAGACAGCCCAGCTTGCGCCCGCGAGGCCCCTTGCGCCCGCCGCGCCTCCGCCTCGAGTCTGCGCTGATCGCGCCACAGGCTCGGGCTCACGTTTCGGAAGCGGCTACCCTCCACGCCAGTCTCGCCACAGCACGACCAGATCAACCCGCCGAATTGCGTGCGTTGTAGCTCCCCTGGGTGGTGACTGCACTTGTCGACGTCCCAACGCCCACGTGGGATCCATCCGGCGCATTGCTCACAGTGTAGCAGTTCCCACGACTCTCTGCCAGTGCTGTGGTCTGCCAAGACGCAGCCCGGCGCGGCGCGGTCGATGCTCTTGCAGCACGTCCACATGCCGAGCACGATGTCGGCACCCAAGACAGTGCCGCCTTCGTCCTCGACATCCACGCGGCCAGCGTTGTCGCGCGCCCATCGCCGAAATGTTTGGACCTTTGCCGCCGGCTCATCGGCCGCATTGCGCCAGCCCTGCTGGTCAGCTGGAAGGGCGGTCTCAAAGCCGCTCCCGACGAGCAGCGGCGCGCCGCGAACCGACTTGGCAAAGCCGGGCGGCGAGGGCGAGGAGGGAGGGAAGCCAGAGGGCGAGGCGGTATCGATCGGCGGTGCGCAAGCCTCGAGGCGAAAGGGTGCAGAGCCTCTCCGGCGCGCCATTCTGCACGACGATTCGAGCTTGTAACCGTCATCGGCACGTGCGCCCACGACATCCCCGCAAGGCGCGCGATACCTCCTGCATCGTAGTTATGGTCCACTTTAGAGCTGTGAACGTGAAGAGAGTGGTACCAGCACTGTGGGTCGTTGCGGCACGCAAGGGGGGCCTCCCGGACGCATGATCCTAGCCCAATACATCCCACGGAGCACATCTCGACTTTTGACAGAATTAAATCCACTGCCCGGGCACGGTACTAATGGTCGTAGTTTTGGTCCCGGTGCCCTTCACGGCACCACACCGCCGCTTGACAGCCCGAGATTAGCCTAGCAGTGAGTGGGCATCGCCTGCCGGTCGGCTGGGCACGAGCCAAGCACTTGGGTGGCCGTCGACCGAGTCCGGGCGGCGCCTGAGGTTTCGGGTTTCGTGGGTCATAGTGTGGAAGCGACGAAACCGAAGCGGGTTGGCCCCGGGGTGGTTTCACTGCGTCCGGCCGGGCCCGGCGTTTGAGGGTTTGTCGGCTCCACCTACAGAAGAGCAGTCTCACTGGGTCGACGATACTGACTCGGTAGTAACGCGGAGCGGTGCTGTGCATAGTGGGCGCAAAGGCGGGGACCTGCTGAGCCTGACTCCCTTCTTCTCTCTAGGTCTATACTCGGTACACCGCCCACCTAGCGGCGGGAACGTACATATACACACACATACGGCGCGCTCTGCTAATGGCCCCCTTCATGCCCTTCCACCATCCTCTATTCTACGCTCTGCTCTCTCTACTCTAACTCTCAGCGAGAGTCACAACATCTCTCCCTCTCACCGCGACGCTACACCGAGTCAGAGCCACGCCCAGACTTGCGCCCCAGACACCCGCAACGACGTTGGCGGGCCGCCGCTCACGGTCGTCTCGCGATCGCCCTCGCCGCCGCCTCGCCACTCCGCACCGCGCCGTCCATGTAGCCGTTGCCGGTGCCGGGGTAGTAGTCCGAGCCCGCCACGAAGAGGCCAGCCGCCTTCTCCTGCCGCACAAACGCCTCCCAGAAGCCGGGCTGGCTCTGCACGCCGGGCGGGAAGAAGCCTGTGTAGGCGCCGCGCGCAAACGGCTGGGCCGGCCAGTCGAGGACGAGGTGCGAGGTGTAGGATCGCGCGCGGGCGTCCTGCAGCGAGGCCTCGAGGAAGCTCACCACCTCCTCGAGGGCGGCGGTGCGGTTGGCGTTGCCGAAGAAACGCAGGTTGGTCCTCCCCTCGAGCCAGCACATGAGTGCGGCCGAGCCGGTCGTCGCGTCGCGAGACGAGTGGTCCATGCACGCCGAGAGGCCGCTCGTGGCCATCACGTTCCCGCTCTTGCCGGCGGCTCGCCACCACGCCTCCCGGTAGAAGAAGAAGAGCTTGGCGCTCTCTCCAAGGGGCATCCGCTGCAGCAGCTGCGCGTCGTTGGCGCTCAGGCTGGGCAAGCGGATGCCGAGCAGCGCGGCCGGGCTGCCCGTCAGGACCACGTGCTTCGCGCGGATCACCTGGCCGTCCGCGGTCGCCACGTCGTAGCTGACCGGCGCGGCGGGGCCAGACCGACGGGTCACCGCGCTCACCACGGCGCCGAGCTTGAGGCGCGCGCCGAGCCGCCTCGCGGCCTCGAGGAGCGGCGCCTGCGAGCCGCGCGCGAGCCGGTACTCGTCGTCGTCCCCGCCGCTCCAGCAGCCCTTGAGGCTCTTGGCGGTCGACAGAAAGGAGACCTGCGACGGCTCCTGCGCCACCATCCCGCGGTTCATCGCACGGAGCACGTCGCGCCCCTCCTCGTGCGTCACGTGCGCCCGGATCCACCCTTCAAAGGTGATGCCGTCGGCATCGCGCCACACGCCGTCGGCGCTCTCGCACGTGAGATTCCTCACCGCCGCCGCCATCGTCGCGCCCACCGCCTCGAGCTCCTCAAACACGGGCAGCCCCTTGAGCTTCGCTCGGAGCTCGCCCGGGCCGCGGTAGCGGATCGCGCCGCCGCTCCGCGTGTGCAGCACGCTCTCGCCGCTCTCGCCTCTCGAGTCGTCGACGCCCCAGTACCACCACGGGTGCAAGTCTGCCGGCTCGGCGACGGCGGGGCGCAGCCTTGCGCGCGGGCGCCGTCGGTGCCGCGTGCCGCCCGCGCGCGACGTGTTGTACGTCTCGACGCCCATCGAAGCGGCGAAGGAGATGAGCGCCGTGTGCGACGGCGAGACGAACGTGCCGCCAACCTCGACGACGCCGTCCGCAGCCACGTCGAAGGCCCCGTCCGAAGGAAGGTAGTTGCGCGTGCGCCCTCCGACGTGCGCCGCCGCCTCGAGCACGAGGACACCCTTCCCAGCGGAGACCAGCGCGTGCGCGGCCGCCAGGCCAGCGTAGCCTGCGCCCACAACCACCGCATCGTAAGCCTCCGCCGGCGGGGCTCCGCCTGCGCCTTGCTCCTGTAGGGTGGCGGCGCGCCCCTCCTTCGGCCCGGCGATGCCCCACCCGGCGAGAGCGGACACCATCTGAGCAGCGATCGCAGCCTCCTTGTCCTCTGGCACGCCAGCGCCGCAGTGGCCGCTGTATTCAGAGCATCGCGTGAACGCAAGGTCGATCCCTCTGACTGAGTGTGTGACTTGGGGGCCCGGGGGCTGTGCTTTTGCGTGAATACAAGGGCTACGAATACAGTAGACACGGTTGCCATGCGGCTGTGAATACAGCTCAAGCCGGTCGGAATACACACATCTTCCCCATCTGGGCACCAGCCAGCCGTCGCACGTGAGCAGCATGAAGGGCTGGTCGAGGCTCAGCGGCCAAACGTCGCGCCGCACGAGCTCCGCAGAACTCGCCATCTTCCACGGGTCATCTGAGTAGTCGACCTCGAAGATGCGGCTCTCGCCCGCCAGAGACCCGCCGCCGAACTTGGCGTTGAACTGCTCGACGGTGGCGGGCGTGACCAGGGGAGCGCCGGCGCCGAAGATGTAGGCGCACTGCTCGATGAGGCGCGCGGCGGTGAGCTGCCGCGGGCGTGTCGAGAGGCCCTGCTGCGGCGCCGTCTGCAGGTAGCCGAGGTGCGCGCACTTCATCCAGTACCACGAGCGCGCGCTCTGCGCCACCGGCCCCTCTGTCGCGGTGGCCATGCAGCTCGAGTTGTAGAAGCAGCTGCTGAAGTACTCGTTGCCCCACGCGTGCCGCGTGTAGTTTGCGAAGAGCGCTGCCAGAGCGAGGTCGTCGTGAGGAGCCTCGCCGGCAGCCGAGGGGGAGGCGGAGGAGGGGGAGGAGTAGCCCGGCTGGAGCGCCTCGCACAAGATGCTCTTCCTTCCGTACTGCACCGCGGAGGAAGATGAGTCGCCGAGAGCGTAGGCGAAATCGACCATGCCGGTGGGCGAGCCTTCGTAATGCGCCGCACCAAAGAGGCGCATGAGCTTGCCCGGCGACGAGTGCAGCAGCGAGGTGAGCGCGGCGCCGACCCGCGCCTGCGCCTGCGCGCAGCGGCTGTCGGGCGAGGAGAGCGCGACGAGGTTGCTCACGTCGTACCGAGCAAAGTCGTACACGGCGGTGACGGGCGGGCTCTGCGCGATGGCCGCGTCGACCAGCTTTGGATAGGTGCGCCTCATCCAGGCGGACGACGCGCCGGCGTACGAGCCGCCTTGCACGACCACCGCGGTGGCGGCGGGGAAGAGCTGGCTGCGCGCGTGCCGGATGAGCGCGGCGACGTCGGCCAAGTTTTGCTCGACCGAGAGGTACTTTGTGAAGGCGCGCGTCGATGAGTCTCCGAGCGGGACCGAGTCGCCAAAGTAGCGGTGCTGGCTGCACACTGACGCAGCGCGCAGCGCCTGCGCGAGCTCACCACTAGGGCAGCCGCGAGTGGCGCCTTCGGAAGGCATCGTCACAAGCAGCACACCTCCAGCCGTGAATTGCGTTGCGTTGACGTAGTACTTGAGCCGCCAGGACGGGCCTTTCACTGCAAAGTGGTCAAGCGGCACGTCGAGGTAGAGCGGCTTTGAAGTCGGGAGCGACGCGCTGAGTTCGAAGCTGGCAGCGATCGACCCGTGCCGCAGATGCTCTGGCAAGTGCACGCCGAGTGCTCCAATCCTCGAGAGGCTGATGGCATGCAGCAGCGGCAGCGGGCTCATTCGTTGTTGCAGTGCGCGCGGCGCCTTGAGCTCGACGGGGAAATTCTTTTTAGTGCGGAGTGCATTGCCGTTCTTAACGGAGTCGCTTAGGCGGCTCCGGTGGTGAGCCTGTGTGTGTGCCAGTCCGCGCCAGTCTGCGCCCTTGTCGTGCCAGTGTGCTGTGAGAGAGGCTTGTATCTTAAGGTGGCAGTCCGGGTTCTGTGAAGAGGGTCGCTCGTCGAATGCGAGCCAGTTCGCTCGCGACGCCGACGCCGACGCCGCCGCCGGAACGACCGCGGCGGCCGGTCGAGCGGCCGCCCCGGCCAGCGGCCGTATCGAGCCTGCCCGTCGCGAAGGTGCGGACCTCACGCGCCCCACCGGCCGCCCGCGCCGCCGCGCCCACGTCGCTCTCTCGAAGCCCAGCGCCACGCCGCTACGACTCCCATCGCGACGACTCCCGTGCTCGCTCGTGGCGCAGGCGATCGACTCCTGACACCCATCGAGCGGATGGGCGCGTTCCCGCCGCGATCCGGTACTCTCGAACGACTTTTGAGGGCAAAAGGTGCCGCCCGAGCCCATTCCCGCCGCCCGCCGCCCGAGATCAGCTGCCACCGGCCAGCGCGCGCGCGGAGACCTGCCGCGAGCGCCTCCGTGGCCCTAGCTGGGGTGATTAGCAAGCGCCTCGGCACTTTAGATTCGCCCCTCGGGCTTTTCCGCGCGCGTGATCAGTCTCGCGTTCTCTCCTTTTTCAGGCGCCTGTTTTCGGCCTCTGAAGAGCAACCGTCGAGGCGTCGATGCTCGCCTCCACGCCCGCGCCAGACCTCCGCGATTGGGGCGCCTTGTCGACGGGATCAATTGTGATTCCGGGCGTATTTTTCTGGTATCTTACTCGCACGTCGGCGACTCTTAGTCGCTTCTCCGTGCTAGGAGGCCTCTGTTTTGTGTCCGTGAGGACTAGATCGAAACTAACATTTCGGCATATGCGAGTAAAGTATCAGAAAAATGCGCGTTCGTTCACAATTCATGTGTATATGAACGGTGCCGACGGGTTTGGCGAGCAGCGAAGCCGTCCAGGCGCAGCAACGCGACGGTTTCGGAGGTCGACGGCTCCGAAAGAGCCTCCCGTTCGAGGCCGGCGCGGTCACGGTACCGTGGAGGCCACAGACGTCGCCGGAGCGGCACTCCCGGGGCGCCACTCCCTCACCCGGTCAGGGGGGGCCAACCACAGCCCGCCTCACCGTCCGTGGAGCTTCCGTGGTCCGCCGCTTCGGCTTCGATTTTCGACCCTCCCGAGGCTGCTAGAGCAGCCCCGCGGAGCCTCCCGGATGCACCGGCACACCGTCGTCCAGAACGCCGGCGCACGCGCTGCCCAGTGACCGGGCGGGTCGGCCCCGACTAGGAGCGGGCCCAGCCGGGCGGAGAAGACTATCCCACTCGCGGTGCGTCGCACCGGCCGGTCCGGTTTTCGTCTCGAGCGGGTCGTGAGACGGCCGCGAGAGCGAGCACCGCGGTCACAGTGCCGTGGAGGCCACAGACGTCGCCGGAGCGGCACTCCCGGGGCGCCACTCCCTCACCCGGTCAGGGGGGGCCAACCACAGCCCGCCTCACCGTCCGTGGAGCTTCCGTGGTCCACCGCTTCGGCTTCGATTTTCGACCCTCCCGAGGCTGCTAGAGCAGCCCCGCGGAGCCTCCCGGATGCATCGGCACACCGTCGTCCAGGATGACGGCGCATGCGCTGCCCAGTGACTGGGCGGGTCGGCCCCGACTAGGGGCGGGCCCAGCCGCGCGGAGAAGGTCAGCGAGCTCGAAACACGTCGCCGCGGCCGGCCGTTTCGCAAGCCTGAGCGGGTCGCCAGACACCCGCGAGAGCCAGCAGCTAGAGCGCCGTCGTAGCCGCAGATCGAGTCGAGGAGCTTAATGTCCACGGTAGCAGTTGTGGAGAGCGGTGGCGCGGTGCGTGTAGAGGCGTCGACTGAGGGCTCCCTTTCGAAACGCGACGGGTACGGCATGACAACTGCCAGTACAGTTTTACGCCGGCCAGCGTGAGAGCACAACAGGGAGCCGGCGACCCGTACGCTTTGCGCGTGGCGACTGGTGGCTGTCTGGAGCTCGTGTGAGCTGGGCCGACGCGTGGCCGAGCCGAGAGGACCAGCGAGCGACCACCTTGGCGATGAAGCTTGGCGGCCGGCGCCTCGTCGCCAGACGTCACAGCGGCGTGGACGCAGGAGTGTGCGGCGACGAGTACCGGCAAATCCGGCCCGGCGTGGCCGGCAGCTGCCTAGCGCTGGCCTGTGACCGGCGCTGCGGTGGCGGAGAAGGCGTCTCTCCGCCGTGGCGGCGGTCGGCAGGTGCGAGCGTGATGCCATCGTGTGGGACGACACCCGTCTGCAAAACCCGGACTGCCACCTTAAGAATTCTTTTTAGTGGGCAGAGAGCTGGCAGAACGCGAGCGAGACGTGGGGTGTTTGGGTCCGTGTCGTGTCGAGTCGACCTACGCGCCCGCTCGGCGAGCCTCGACGCGGCGCAGGAAGCCGTGACGGCTGGTGCTGCACACCGCCATCGCAGCGTGTTGAAAAGGCGCTCTTGTCGCCACCGCGGTGGTGGTCGAGCGCGTCGCGCACACGATAAAACTTGCGTACGTGATGGTGGTGAGCTCGGTCGAAGGTGGTGGGCCGAAAACGCGAGTAGGTACGGCCGCGCGGGGCCACGGCGAGCTTTGCGCGGAAATCGCAAGCTTCGCACAAATCGCACAAATCGCAAAACATAAAAATCTCTCTCAAATCGCAAAGATGACCGCCCAAGTCCCAACACCACCCGGGGACCACCACCACCCGTGTCCCAAAGTGAGAATTCCGATTGTACCTGTCAATAGATCGCGAGCAACAAAGCAGTTGCCCCTCGAGCCATGTTCGCGTTTTACCGCCACAAGATCGAATGGGGCGGTGAGAGTACACGCTGAAAATGATGTAGGTTGTAGGGGCTTGGCGTTAGCCAGTGTGGTGGGGGGCTGCAACAGCGCCGACGCGGGTACGAGTAATTCTTCCATGTGGAAAGCTTTATAGTAGAGAGAGAAAAAAATCTCCTTTGAGTCGGTTGACGAATTTGCCGACAAATGAGCGACGCGACTAGCCCTGCACGGGCGACTACTGAGGCGAGTCTGTATGCGGCCTCTACAGCTCAGGCACCGAGCACTTTTGCACAGCCGCCTGGGAGAGCGGCGGTGAGGGCGTCAGTCGTGAGGGCGGCCGCGGCGCGGGAGGCGGGCGAGGGCGAGAGGCGGCCAGGGGTGGAGAGAGAAGAAGGCTGAGAGGAGAGAGAAGGCAGGGAGGAGAGAGGCGGCCGGGGCAGAGGCGGGAGGGAGGAGAGACCGGGCGGCGAGCCGCGCACCTCGAACCGCGTGCAGCTCGGGCGTCCAAATGAAGCGCGACCCTCAATATAACACAATTCAGAAATTCATTTTTTTTTGGAGAAATATGATTTTTTGTTTTTTGAAGGAGGGTCCGGGTCGCAACCCTCAATGTAACACAAGAATTCAGAAATTCAGTTTTTTGGGGGGAAATTGTTGGAATATTTTTTTTGTAGGGTCTGGTCGCAGGGCCAATATAAACACAAGAATTCAGAAATTCAGTTTTTTTTGGAAAAAATGAAATATAATTTTTTGGGGTCCCTGGGCAGGGTCCCAGCCCGAGGGGCCAAGATTTTCTGAAGAATTTCTCCCAAAAAAACTGAATTTCTGAATTTTGCTTATATTGGTACCTGCGACCCATGGGCCTCGGGGCGGGCGAGCCTCAGTGCCAGTGCCTCGAGGCCTCGGGGCCGGCGAGCCTCAGGGTGTGGCGCGGCTAGCGCGTCCGCTCTCGACGACACGGACATCGCGAGAGCATTTGAATTCACACATGACTTTTTTCAGCGCAGCCGCGCCGCCGTCTGCGCGCTTGGCGGCCTCGAGCTGCCTGCTCGCCTGTGGCCTCTCGTCGGCGCCTTTGCGCTCGGCGGAGCCACCACCGCCGCCGCCTCTGCCGCCGCCGGGTCGTACCAGCACCGAGGATACTCCTCCTTTCCGTCTTCCGCCGCTCACTGCGAATCGTCCGCTCAGTGCTCGGCGCGGCGTGCATGGCCCTGCTGCGTCGCAGGCTTCCGGGCTGCGAGGCTGCCGACGAGGGCGAGTGCGATCTCACCGCATCTCGCTCGCGGTGGGCGGAGGCGTGGGCCATCCTCCGCGCGGGCCTGCGGGAGGTCGGCCGAACCACGGCAGAGGGCGTCGAGGCCTTCAAGATGGAGCGTTCCCTCTACTCCGCGGTCCTCGGACGGTCAGCACACTCTCCCGCCATTTTCATTGCCGCCACTCGTCTCGCCGCATTATTGCAGGACACATCCCTGACACGTCCCCGACACCTCCCTGACACGTCCCTGACACGTCCCAGGCCCGCCCTCGTGGCGCTGCAGTACGTGCTCGATCGTGTCACGCCGCTGCGCCTCGAGGCGGTGCTGCGCGAGGCGCTGGTCGGCGTGCTCTCCTCTGTGAGCGCGCCGCCCGAGCCCGGCCCAGACCAGGAGGCTTGCATAGAGACACTCGTCTCACGAAGCTGTCTTGCACACACGTACTGTCTCGCAACAGTGTTGCCCTGCCTTAGCTCACTCACGTACATACATACACGTGGCAGCGCTCGGCGGCAGTACTGGTTTGATATAGCACGGAGTCCTCTCGCTCCAGTGCAGTACGGAGTTTGTCGTATCGCGTTTCACAGTGATGCCCCAAAGTCTGAGACAGCAATACGAGCACATGGGCTACTCTAGTTTTCCAATTCACTCTCACACTCTGACATGCTAATATTTGTGTGCACAAATCGCCCGTCGTCACCGCCTTTCACCACCAGGTCCCCCAATGTTTGTGCATGTCATGACGTCCTCCGCCGTGCCCGGCCGTGCCCGGGCCCCCAGCCTAGACAGCGGCTGCCCGGCCGCCCTGCCTAGCGCGTGGGCGGTGCTGGGTATGGTTGAGCCGTCGGCGAGCCTCGCCTGCCCGCCCTCCATGCCGTCGCTGCCACCGCCGTCGCCTCCTCCACTGCCTTTACCGTCACCGCCGCCGCCGCCACCGCCGCCACCGCCGCCATTCTTACCGTCGCCGCCGCCTTCGCTCTCGCCTTCCCCGTCGCCACCGCCGCCAGTCCCGTTGCACCCTCCGCTGCAAACAACTCCGCCATGCTTTGGTTGCCTCCACCCGCACACCGCCGGCGGCTTGCCCGAATTCCCGAACGATTGGGCCATCGGGCTGCTCCTCGCATTGTGCCTTGAGCCGCTGCTGCGTGGGCAGATCAAGAAGAAGAGGGTGGAGGGCCGCAGCCACGCAGCGATCTCTGTACCCTTCCTCTCCGGCACGCGTGCTCTCCGAGTTGGCATTGTGATCCTCTTCTGCCTGCAGGACGTATGCGGCACCCCACCGGCACCGCTCCAGCCCGTCATTGTCAGCGGCCCGTGCTCGCTCACCGACGGCGGCTCGTGCGCCGCGTCGCCAAACTACCCGAACAGCTACGGCATCAACGAGGCGTGCACCATCAGCGGCGTGCCGCCGGTCGAGCTGGAGACGGTCGCCTTTGATGTGGACGCTTGGTCCTACTACGACTACGACTACAACGGTGACCCCATGGATGACTGCCCCTCCGACTATCTCACCGTCAACGGCAAGAAGTACTGCGGCACCTCGGGGCCCCCGAGTGGCGCGGTGGCGGAGGACGGCGTGATCGAGTGGCGATCGGATGGCAGCGTAGTCGGGCCGGGCTGGAAGGCGCGCCCCTGGTCCCTCTCGCTCCCTTCTTTCTCCTCTCTGATGCCCTCCTCCCTCTCTGCCGTCAGATCTGCTGGGCGACCCGCCCGCCTTCACCGCCATCAGCGCCGCCTCCACCGCCTCCACCGCCTCCACCGCCAACACCGCCGTCGCTGCCGCCGCTCTCCCCCGGCTTCGACCACGGACACGCCGGAGCGGGCAACCCACATGCTGCTCTACCTGACCCAGAACACTTGGTCGGATGAGAGGCTGGCCGAGCAGGTCACGGCGGCCCGCGCAGCAGGTCTGCCGATTGTCATGGCTCACGAGAACGACCCAAGCCTTGGTGGTTGCGCTTTTGCACGCCAATTTGAGACCACGCCGCAGGAGCTCATCGCAGGCGGCCTCTACCAAGACCTCGCCGTCGCGTGCTTTGCGGGGATTCACCGCGAGGCAGCCGAGACGTAGCTGAGAGTTTAGCTGGTACCTACCCTTTGTGAGGCCGCCGGTTCGGACTAGGTGTCGCGCTGTCTACTGGCAAAGGCGCTCGGTGCTAGGCCAGGCAGGGAGCAGGAGGCGTCCCTCCGCCGCAGCAGCCTTTTTGCACGCTTCTCCCGCACAATTCCGCCGGCTGTACAACCTATCGAGGTGGAGGCGGAGTCCTCGGCTTATCACATTTGACCATTGTGAGTATTTGGTGTGTGTCAGTGTGTGCGTGTGGGTGGGGGGGGGGGGGGGTTGCTCCAACACTCCTTCTCTGCCAGGGAGGTGCACGTGTGTTTGCTGAGTAGTCGCACCCCTGCCTGGCGGCGAGCAGAGGTTATGACCTACTCTCATGTTTTCGAAACATGCAGATTGTAAAATTCTTTTCCCTCGCCACTGGCGTCGGGTCCACGCGTACTCTCTACTTACGAACGGACACATCGCATCCTCAACCTAAAGTCCTGGCGGAGGCTACATATTTGTTGCCATATTGGTGAAAGAGCTCCCCACCCTCCATCTTCCACTCGAACGCTACCCGGTCTCCTTCCTCCCGGGACCCCGCCCTCCACCCCATTGACCGCGGCGCGGCTTTGTCGCGGCGCTCGCCGTCTACCTCCGCCTTGTCCGCTGTCGAGAAAAGAGTTTTGTTCCGCTGTCGTGTATTGAAAGAAAGAAAGAAAAGCTAAAGGAGGGGTGGGAGGACGGCACGCCGCCACCGCACAGTACCACAGAGCTGCCAACAATATACCTACAAACAGAGTGACAGAGATTTCAAAGAAAGAAAGAATCTTAACACCAACCCAAAACACAAGCGAAGAGAGATAGGAAGAGGCAGACTCCCTAGGGTGGGCGACGGCTAGCGCACCACACACCTCTCCTTAAAATCCCTGTGTGGTGGCGGCGTGCCGTCCTCCCATCCCTCCCTTGGGTTGTCTGTTTTCTTTCTTTCTTTACAAGGGAAGGATGGGAGTTCCCCGTCTTTGTAGCCTGGCGTTTGTGCCCCGTTTGTGCCGCGTCCCGTGCCCCCGAGTTCATTTACACAGGGATTTAATCGTTGCATACATGTTGTACACACATCCCTGATATGCAGGATTTCACATGTGCATGAACATGTGACATGCGCATGCACATGACATGCACATGCACATGACATGTGCATGTGCATTGTGCGTCCGTCTTTGTGGCCTGGCGTTTGTGCCAAGAACAAGTAAAAATCTCTCTCTCTCTTTGTGCCCCGTTTGTGCCGCGTCCCGTGCCCAAGAGTTCATTTTGTAAAGAAAGAGATAGCTAGCCCCCATGATGTGTTCACGACAACGTCTAGCGCATCACACTCCTCTCCTTAAAATCCCTGTGTGGTGGCGGCGTGCCGTTCTCCCATCCCTCCCTTGGGTTGGTCCGCGTTCTTTCTTTCTTTTTCACGACAACGTCCGTGGAAGCACTGGGCGAGCGAGCACTTGCTTGGACTGCAGTCTGCGCCTCGCATCTTCAAACGACTGGCTGTATGGCGCAGGCTCCGCCCAAGCCTGGTATCGCGCCCGTCGAGCTGGCCATCTCGTGTGTCTTTAGCGTGTTCTTTACCACGAACGCGCTTCTCGACCTCTCAGCCGACTTGTGGGCGCTGGACGCTCCGCGGGCGCGGCTTGCCTTTCTGCGGGACTGGTATGTCTTTCGGCAGTGGTCGCCCATCGTCAGCCCGCTCTTCCTCGCGCTGACGCTGCTGCTGCCATTCGCCGTCTTCACGCTCTGCAAGGGAGCGCTGGAGAGCATCTGCGGCTGGCGCAGCGCCTCTCGCCTCCGCCACACGGTCGACATTTTGGAGGCCGTCATCCTGGTGGGAGTCATTCTTCCCATCGGGATCCCGGCCGCCGTCTCGGCGCAGGAGGCTCTGATTGCCGCGTGCAAGGGCTCTGTCACCGGGGGCGTGAGTGGCGGCGGGCCCCTCGGCTTCTTTAGCGCAGACACGACCGCCACACTCCGCCCCGGGGACATGTCGGCGTGCAAGGCGAGCGCCGCAGAGCTGCCGTCGCCGCACCTGCTGATGGTCGCGCTCAACCTGCTCATGTGGGCGTGCGACGTCTTGCGGTACAGCTGCGGCGGTGCGCCGGCCGGCGAGGAGAAGAGGGACTAGAGCAGGGCGGTTGTATATTACGGCCACGCGCAGCGTCGCAGATGCACGGGAGAGAGAGAGCGCGCGCGGACCCACACCACACATGCCCGGGTCTCTTTTATGCTAATTTTGTACTGTGCCGTACGAAAGTCTGTGCAGCTTGTGAGGGACACGATCCCGGCAAGCCTGTTCATGATTACAATAGTATTCAAGTAGAGCCGTATTGTACTCATAATACACGTGCATCGTGAGTACTCAACTCATGAGTACCACCGCAGTTGAGTATTCATACTCATGAGTACGTCTGGCGCATGCGTGAGTACTTGTACTCAAGTCCATGAATACTACTGGCCAGTCGGTCACGTCCCAAAACGCGCTCCCTGAGACTCGACCGACCGCTGGCTCTGCTCCAGCGCTTCGCATATGCCACCAAAGAGGAAGAAGGCCCAGCCTCGACTAGAAGTGCAAAAATACAAGCTGCTTCGGCAGCCGATGAATCTTATCGGCACGCAGGTCAAGTTCCTCGGGTCGTTCTGGGAAGGGCGCATGACGGCCGAAGAGAAAGCTACGGAGTACCTGTGCACGGTGCTTGACTGGAGTACCTGTGCTCGGTGCTTGACTTTCAGATCGCTCACCGCATGCAGCCTGGCGCCCCGCCGATGCTGGCAGACCCCAACCTCAACCCGGCCCACCTCGCTGTGCTGGTCAGGATTGGCTTCAACAAGAAGGCCTTCGAGCCGGCAGTGGCAGCGATCAAGGAGAAGTACTACGAGCTGTTCCGAGGCAAAGGGGGCGAGCACAAGGAGGGCTCCTCGGGCGCGGCCGGTGCGGCATCTTCATCGGCGGCCGGGGCGGCCGGGGCGGCTTCGTCGTCGGATGCCGCCGACGTGGCATCGTGAATATCTAGCCGCGGTGCCCTGTGTTGTCTGTGGCTCCGTTTGTGTGTTTTAATTTTGGTCATTATTCTCTTCACAGCGCACGCGAAACGATAGCCCGGTCATGAACAACGACAAATCCTCTATCGAGCCACGCCACTAGCACTACTGGCTGCCTAATCCTCAATGCCCTCTTCAAACTCAGCAATCGCAGCCTTCACAGCCTCATCTTCCGCCTTTCGGTACTTCTTCACTGCGCCGTTCAGCTGCGCCTTGCCGCAGTTCTCGTACAGCTCCTCAAGCTCAACCCAGCGTGTATCGGCAAAGCCTGCGTCATGCTGGTCCTCTTTGAACGTGCCGCGCGTGAGGTAGCAAATGGTGTTGTCGGCAGCAGCCAGCCTGTTGCGCCGCTTCTTTCCGATCAGTTGATCGGGGTCGCAAAAGCGCATGCCGAGCACCGCCTCAATCTTGTAGCAGAATGTCGGCACGACCGCGTCTCCGCACCGCCACCTGCCAGCCGCGCCTGGCGCTGCGCCGCAGCCGCTCTCTGGCACTTGTAGCGGCAGCACATGGTGCGGTGCGCGTACTTGAGCAGGCGGTGCGCGCCGCAGTTGGCGCAGGGACCCTGGGAGTAGGGCGTGCGCGGCATGTGGACGCGCGCTCGGGTATTTCTCGGGTATACCTGGACTTTTGCAGGTATACCCGGGTTTTACCTGCAAGTTGCTCACGCACTTGTATTTGAATACATTATTCATATTCATGAGTACAGGCAGACGTGAGTATTCATATTCATGGATACCAGGCGTCATGACTACTCATACTCAACAATACAAGCTGCCAAAGGATGAGTTGAGTTACTCATTGTAATCTTGAATAGGCTTGGATCCCGGCGTGAACACACGACTAACTGACGCGGATCCGCTCCTGACAGTGGCATGCACCGCGCTGCGGCGCGTGCCACTGTCTTTGTTTGAAGTTAAAAGTCGAATCAGAGCGCCGTCGGCGCTGTCCCTCGTTTTCCTCCCACGGACCGCCCGTCCGGCACCGCTCCGGGACGCACGCCGGCGAAGCACCATCAAGCTGCTGTACGGCCCCGGCATCGCCTCCCCTGGCTTAGCTAGACTAAGAGATATTGTGTATATGGTTGGTCTCTACAATATACTCACTGGCACTGAACCTCCCAGAGCTCGTCCCGGTCCGCCACGGTCATCCTCGGCCTCCGGAGGGCCCCCGGCCGCGGCGCGGTGCGGCGGCGTCACAAATCCGACGGCAGAGCACCGGGACGCGGTCGGGCGATCTGAGGTCCAACTAGGCGTATGCATTGCCCATCCAGGGCTATCACCTCGACCTATCAACAGGCGCCTGCGGCGCCGTGCTCAGGAGCTGCTGTTCACAGCTGCACAGACTTTAGTACGGCACAGTACACATGTCTCTCTCTCGGGGGGGCGGGCGGCGGGGGGGGGGGCGGCGGGGGGGGTCTTCCGCCACCGACCCTCCCCGAGCTTCGTCACGAGGCACGACACGCTGCGCGGCCGCACGGCCCCGGCCGCTCGCTTCTCGACGATGCACTGTGGACACATATGGTCATGGAGCGCGCCCAGTGCTCACAAACTTTACCGGTTATGAGACCGGTAATTTGGTGATATTTTGATTAGTTTTGGAGTGGCATGGTATAGTGGTATGCGAAAGTGGTATGCATGCGGGGTTTTCATTAGTTGTAGCGGCTGTCGGTGTGGTCCCGGGGGCGAAACCATGCAAAAGTGCGGGTATTACCCGGGTATACCCGGGTTTTTCCAGGTATACCCGCAAAATACCGGAGGTATCTTGCCGATTTTGCCGATTTTGCCACCAAGAAGGCACTCCGACTCGCTTTGATTTCCGTGAGGCAACTGGTATCCCGTACCACTTTTTGATTAGTGCAGGCCTTGGGTTTGATTAGCCAAAAACTCCCATACCGGTAAAGTTTGAGCACTGAGCGCGCCGCCCTCTGGGGGGGGGGCGGGGGCCCTACAGGCTCGACACAGGTGCGAACTGGCGCGTGCTAGTACTATCACGAAAGAAAGAAAACAAAACGCCGGGGAGGGATACTGGGCGAGGAAGTTTTGTCGCTTCAGTTCTTTTCGCACAACACTACCTGTACCTGTGTTAGTGCCAGTGCGCGCCAGTCCCGTGCCCAGTAAAAGAAAGAAAACAGACAACCCAAGGGAGGGATGGGAGGACGGCACGCCTTTATGTATGTATGTAGAAAGATGAACAACAGTCAGGCTCGGACTGGACACCAACGCGGTATGGGTGGACGCCCGACAGATGATGACGACACGCACGAACGCCTAAATAAATAAATAAAACAGACATCCCAAGCTAGGGCTGGGTCGAGGACAGACACGTCCCCACCTTTGCAGGATTTTGCAAAAGCGAGGGGGGAGGGCGCATCGCGGCGCGGAGAGGGCTGGGCACGGGCACAGGGGATCTCTCTCGCATAGGATACGCACTCGGCGGCACGAGGGCAAGGCTGGGCGTCCTATTTGTGCTCCCTCCGTTTCCCTCGCTCTCGGGCACTATTCATCTGACCACTCATCAGAGGGGCTTCTAGGCGATCGGCCGCGCTCCGGGGCAGGGCTGGGTAGGATGGGCTCGGGCCACTCGCCCGTGCGGGTGTATCCCCGCATGAGCCGGATGGAGGCCTCGACTGTCCCTCGCGGCAGGCTCTCGAGCAGCTCGAGCAGCTCTCCCGCCGCCACCGCCGCGTCGTACTGCTCCTTCAGGCCGAGCGCGCCGCAGACCCTGCGGACCGCCTCCTGCTGCACCTCGTCCGGTAGTCGGCGGAGGACGCCCGCTTGGCGGGCGGCGAGTCCGGTGAGGGAGAGCGCGACTGGCGCGAGGGCCCGCCGCCGCGCGCCGACAGCGCGTTCTTGTCGACGAGCCGGGGTCCAGCATTGGCGCGGCCGCTGGCACTGCGGCCCTTGCCGCGCTGCTGCTGCCCGCGCTTCCTTCCCGGATTAGGGACAGTGAAAGTGCAGCCGCGCACTCCGCCGCCGCTGGGCGATGGCGGCACGCGCGCGGCGGCGGCCGGGCCCGCAGGCGCGGCGGGCTGGCCTCCCGCGGTGGCACCCTGCGGGTGCAATGCGGCTGCGGCGGCGTACGTCATGCTGGTCGCCGGCTCCGCAGCTGGTGGCTCGGCGGCAGGGGCTGGCGGCGCCGCAGGGCTCGCGCTCGCAGGCGGCTCCGTGGCCTGCGCCTGCCGCTCATGGCGGACCGCGCGCTCGAGCTGTGAGTGCGGGTGGAGCTGCACAATGACGTCGCCGCTCTGCGTCGCGGTGAAGGAGACCGAGTACGGCGCGTCGCCGTCGTTCTTCTTCTCCGCGTAGACGAGCGCGTAGTCGCACACCTGTCGTTGGTGGTCAGTGAATATGCTCTCCGTGCAGCGCTCGGCGGCGCCGACGCGAGCAAATTTAATATACGTAGGGTGAACAAAGAACTTGTGAAAAAAAAATTTTGCCACGTCCGCCGCGAACGTCAGTTCTTTCGCACACACCGGCACGGTGTGACAGGCGCCCAGGCGCACTGAAACACCTCGGGAGCCGCCAAGAGCGGCCAGCCTTCGCACCTATCGGACCTCCGCCATGGCCCTCACCTGCGGCCGAGCCCTCCTCGCGCTGCTCGCCGTCTACGTGGCGATCCTCTCGCACACGCTGCTCGAGCTCTTCTACCCGTCGCCGTGCCGCGGTGCCGCCTGTCTGCAGCCGCTGCTGCGCAGCGGCGCCGCCGTCGACCTGCAGGCGCACATCGACGGGCGGCTCGTCTGGAGCGCAGCCGGTGTGAGCAGCGGCGCAGGCCTCGAGGACGTTGCGTTTGCTGTCCCGGTCCCGGCCGAGGTGCGGCTGGGCAGTCGAGAGGAGCTGCATCTCGACTTCTCCATCGCGCTCGCAGGTCAGCAGCAGCCCATCGCGCACGCCCGGGCGCTCCTCTGCGCGCGCCGCCAGCCGCGACGCCGCAGCACCGCCCGCATGCTGCTCGCCGAGCCAGCCGTCTCCTCCTCCACGCCTGGCTCCGCCACTTCCGACTCTGCCGCCGCCGCCGTCCCCGCCGCCTCCGCTTCCAGCGAGCAGAGCGGCGTCGCCGTTTCCAGCGAGCAGAGCGCCGCCTCCGCTTCCAGCGAGCAGAGCGGCGTCGCCGTCTCCAGCGAGCAGAGCGGCGTCGCCGTCTCCAGCGAGCAGAGCGGCGTCGCCGTCTCCAGCGAGCAGAGCGGCGTCGCCGTCTCCAGCGAGCAGAGCGGCGTCGCGCCGCCGAACGAGCGGGGCGAGGTGCCGCACTACCTCTATGCGGCGGCGAGCCTCGAGCTGCGGCTGGTTGCCGACGAGACGCCGCACGCCGGGCCGGTGCTGCCGAGCGACGGGGCCGTGGTCGCGAACGGCGTGGACTGGTCTCGGCGCGTGTACGCGCCTCGGCTCTACGTCGACGAGCTCGGCCTGCTGGGCAAGCACGCGCTGCCTCTCTCGAGCGACGTGGGCAAGGAGCCTCCTCGGCTGCGGCTGCGGCTGCTGCCCATCTCCCTCGGTCGGTACCGCGCCACGCGCCAGCTGCACACGGCGCTTGGCGCGCTGCAGGCGGCCAGCGGGATGGAGGCAGTTTGACGCGCTGCGCGAGCTGTGCCTTCCCCGACCCTTCCCTGACCCTGGCTCTGAACCTTCCTGTAGGCCGAGTTCGACGAGCTACGCGAGCTGCTCTCCGAGAAGCGCCTCTACCGCTTCGCGCTGATGCAGCTGATCGGGCTGCTCCACGTCGTCTTTGACGCGCTCGCCTTCCGGAACGACGTCGGCTTCTGGAAGGGGCGGGAGGACCTGAGGGGCCTGTCCTCGCGCGGCGTCATCTTCAACGCGGGCTCCACGCTCGTCATCTTCCTCTACCTGCTCGACGGCGACGGCGTCAACTCGATCGTCCTCGCTACCTACGCCTTCTCCACCGCCCTCGAGCTTTGGAAGCTGACCAAGGTGGTTGCGATGCGGCGGCGGGCGCGCGGCGCGGCCGCCGGCGCCGGCGGCGAGGGCGCGCGCGCCGAGGCGGCGACGGAGCGGTTCGACGAGGTTGCGACGCGGCACTTGACGTGGGGACTCGCGCCGCTGGTCGTCGGCTGGGCGCTGTACGCGCTGCTCCACTACCCGCACGCGTCGTGGCGCGCCGCTTCCCCGCCGTCCTCCCGCCAGCCCCGCCTCCGAGGGGGCGAGTCACCCACCCTTGGATTCTGCACCCTCTTGTCAGGTACAGCTGGCTGCTCGGCTCGCTGGCCGACGCGATCTACCTCTTCGGCTTCATCGCGATGACGCCACAGCTCTTCATCAACTACAAGGCGCCGAGAGGAGCCGAGAGGGCCCGAGATGGCCCGAGATCTCCCGAGATCCCCAGATCTTCTTCAGCCGCAAGGCGGTTCGCTGCTCAACCCCCCCCCGCCCTATCCAGGCCTCGGTCCCTCCCAGGGCATCCCCCTTCCCCGTGCCCCCGCCTGCGCCAGACCAGCCCCCTCGCTTCTGCCGTCGCCGAGGAAGTACACACGCCGTTTCGAGGCAGAGCTCCCCCGCCCCCCCTCGCGCCAGATGAAGAGCGTCGCCCACCTGCCGTGGCGCGTCCTCGCGTACAAGGCCTTCAACACCTTCATCGACGACGCCTTCGCGCTGATGGTCGCGATGCCGACCGCCCACCGCGTCGCCTGCCTGCGGGACGACCTCGTCTTCCTCGTCCTCCTCTACCAGCGCCGCCTCTACCCCGTGGACCGGAAGCGCGCCAATGAGTTCGGCATCGCGTACGAGCGGGACGAGGCGGACGTCGCTCCCGCGCAAGGGGAGGGCAGCGCGGGAGATGGGGCCGAGGAGGGGCCTGCTAGAGGGGTGGAAGCGGAGGGCCTGCTAGAGGGGTGGAAGCGGAGGGCGAGGTACCCACCCGCCTCCTCGACCTCCCCACGGAGCTCCTCGTGCGCGTCGTCTCTCGCTGCGACCCCGCCGACATCGCTCGCGTTGCGGCCGTCTCGCACATCTTCCACGCCTCGCTTGCGAAGGAGGGCATCCGTTTGCGCCTGCAAGAGGCCGGCTACGAGCCACCGGCGCAGCCGGAGGGCGAGAGCTGTGCCATGCGGTGGCTGTGTCTCGCTGCCTTGCTGCGCGAGTCCAACCCGCCGGCGAGGGCGGCGGCAGGCCAACGGCACAGCCTCTTCATCGACGGCGAGGGGCGGCTCTCGTCGTGCGGCGCAGATCCGGATCAAGAGGGGCGGCTCGGCCACGGCGAGGGCGTGACGCGGCTCAACACGCCGACGCGCCTCTCGTCGACGCTGGGCGGCGAGCGCGCCGTGAGCGTGGCGGCTGGAGAGAGCCACAGCATCGCTCTCACCGCCGACGGCAGCGCCTGGAGCTGGGGCCGGGGAGGCGGTGGCCGGTTGGGCCACGGCGACGAGCAGAGCCAGCTGCTGCCGAAGAAGGTCGAGGCCTTGGCTGATCAGCGCGTCGTCGCGGTCTCGGCGGGACTCGCGCACAGCTTCGCCATCACCGCCGATGGCGCTGTCTGGAGCTGGGGCAGTGGAGCTTATGGTGGCCGGCTGGGCCACGGCGACGAGCAGGACCAGCTGCTGCCGAAGAAGGTCGAGGCTTTGGCAGGCCAGCGCGTCGTCGCTGTGTCGGCTGGAGTCGGCCACAGCCTCGCCATCACCGCCGATGGCGCCATCTGGAGCTGGGGCTATGGAGGCTACGGCCGGCTAGGCCACGGCGACGAGCAGGACCAGCTGCTGCCGGAGAAGGTCGAGGCCTTGGCTGGCCAGCGCGTCGTCGCTGTGTCGGCTGGAGGCGGCCACAGCCTCGCCATCACCGCCGATGGCGCCATCTGGAGCTGGGGCTCTGGACCCTTTGGCAAGCTGGGCCATGGCGACACGCAGAACCAGCTGCAACCGAAGAAGGTCGAGGCCTTGGCTGGTCAGCGCGTCGTCGCTGTCTTGGCGGGATTCGCGCACAGCCTCGCCATCACCGCCGATGGCGCTGTCTGGAGCTGGGGCAGTGGTTTGCGAGGCAAGTTGGGCCACGGCGACGAGCAGAGCCAGCTGCTGCCGAAGAAGGTCGAGGCCTTTGCTGACCAGCGCGTCGTCGCTGTGTCGGCAGGGGAAGACCACGGCCTCGCCATCACCACCGATGGCGCTATCCTCGCATGGGGCAGGGGCGATACCGGCTGCCTAGGACACGGAGCTGACCTGTCGAACCAGCTGCTGCCCAAAAAGGTCGAGCGATAGCCGATAGAGTCCCAGACGGAACCGAGATGAGCCGAGATTAGCAAAAGAGTTTTGAGTAAAAATGTTACCAACCAACTTCAACTTTTTGAGCCGATCACCGGGCATGAGCGCGGAAGCGCCTGTGCTTCGAGAGAGATTGTTGTTTGGCTGGTTCCAATTCAGACAAACTCTGACACGTGAGTCGTGACCCGCACATCTGCCCTCTACTTAACCGTACTTGATCGGGAAGTCGGTGCTAGGGGAGACTAGTGTGGAGCCGGGGCCCCCCGTTTCCGCACTGCGGCGCGGCGCACGGTGCCTCCGGGGGCCCCCGCCTCCCCCACGCCCCAGAGGCGCCGCCGCCACCCCGCGCTTTAATCGTACGGCTTTAATCGTTTCGACACCGCGCTCATGCGTGGTCGTGGCCGCTCGAGCCTCTGTCTCTCGAGCGTCGAGGGCCTCCCACGCCACGAGCGCGCGCAAGTGGCGACGGAGCGGCGCGAGCGAGGCCGAGAGCCCGAGGCCGACGGAATTTTAGTACGTAGGTTCGAAAAGCATTTTACAACCTTCTGAGAAATCCTTCCTTGTTAGTAAAAGATTTTTTTGACTGTTCGGTGCTATTTTTTCGCGCGACCCTGGCCAGGGTTCCAACGTTTGAGCACTTGAGCACTTGATAGGGTCGATTCCGCATGGTACGGGACCCCTGCACCCCTCCGATCGTCTCGCCCACCCTCACTGGTGTGTTCATTGGGGGGGGTCATAACAAACACGGTACAGGATCGAGGTGCACAACCCCGGGCCCGAAATCGCTCCGATCACACACACTCGCGCCCCTTCTCTGCGCCAGAATTCCGCCCGGGCAAATTCCTTTTATTGCGAAGTCGGAAAGTTCTTTTTTAGGACAGTGGGCCTATCCCCCCCCGCCTGCTGGCAGACCTGCTTGGGGGTATGGTATAGTCTTGGGCGGTCAGGACCATACCCCCACACCCCTTTGGGCCCGCACCATGTGTGTGTGAGTGAGTGAGTATTCTTGATACGAAACCACGACGACACACACCAGTCGACTCGCATCGGTTGCCTCCATGAATGGCGGAGCTAATCTCGCGTCCACACACACAGATAGCGCACCATACCAGGTAGGTACTTGTTAGGTAGGAACCGACCGCGCCCGCCGCGCGAACGGACTCATCATCACCTCCCTTCAACATACAGTAACCTCTAACAAACCGCCGCGCATAACTGACTCCTCATCACCTCCCTACCAACATACAGAGGGAGAAAGGTGAACAACAGCCGCCCGGGGGGGGCAAGGCTCGGACTGAACCGGCTGCCGTCCTGGACAAAAGTTGGAACCCTGGCGGCGACGACGCGGTCGTTGCGAGCATTCGCGGCTGGCACTGACCATGAGCCTCGGCTCCGACAGCGTCGCCACAGCCACCAGCGTCGCGGCTGGGGTCGGTCCGAGCAACGAGCACGAGAAGGCGCTCGACTTTGCAAACTATTTCGTCTCCTACGGGTACATCTACCACCAGAAGGCGACCGCCTCCTCTCCTCTTCCCGCACCGCCACCTCTCCTCTCCCCGCAGCGGCTCACTTGCACCGCGCTGCATCTCGACCGCCGCATCTCTCCTCGTTCCGCAGGATATGCTCCAGGACCGGCTCCGGATGGAGGCGAGACGCAGAGCCGCCTCGCTCGCGCACTCGACACCGTGGCGCGCCATCAGCCCCGCCTCCTGCTCTCCCCAGGGCTACCGCACCGCCATCCTCAACAACCGCGCCTGCTTCGAGGGCAAGGCGGTGCTCGACGTCGGAGCTGGCTCGGGCATCCTCGCCATCTGGGCAGCTAAGGCGGGCGCGCGCGTCGTGTATGCTGTCGAGGCGACGTCGATGGCCAAGCACGCACGCCGGCTCGCAGCGGCAAACGGTGTCGGCGACGTGGTCGTGGTGCTCGAGGGGTACATGGAGCAGGTGACGCTGCCGGAGCAGGTGGGCGCGAGCAGAGGGCAGAGAGGGAGGAGAGGGAGGAGCAGAGAGAGAAGAGAGCAGAGAGCAGAGAGGGAGGGAGAGAGGGAGGGAGGGAGGGGAGGGAGAAGGAGCCTAGCCTCACCTCTTGGCCGCAGGTAGACGTGATTGTCTCCGAGTGGATGGGCTACTTCTTGCTGCGCGAATCCATGCTAGACCCCGTCATTGCAGGCGCGATCTCCCCGTCTCTCCCCATCTCTCCCCATCTCTCCCCACCTCTCCCCGTCTCTCCCCACCTCTCCCCATATCTCCCCATCCCTCCCCACCTCTCCCCACCTCTCCCCACCTCTCCCCACCTCTCCCCACCTCTCCCCATCCCTCCCCACCTCTCCCCACCTCTCCCCACCTCTCCCCACCTCTCCCCACCTCTCCGAGGCAATACTCGCTGTCCTCACAGCCCGAGACAAGTGGCTCAAGCCGGGCGGCGCGCTCTTCCCGTCGAGCGCGTCCATCTACCTGGCGCCGCTCTGCAGCAGCCTGTACGCGCCAAAGCTGCGCGAGTTCGAGCGAGAGGTGTCGGGGTGGTCCCACTTCAAGGACTTCATGGGGCGGGAGAACGGCGTCGACATCAGCGTGCTCGACGCCGAGTGGCAGCAGGAGCAACCGCCGACACCCCCTCCTGGACACTTCCTAGACCCGTCCTAGACACTGCTTAGACCCTTCCTCGACCCTTTCCTGTGGCCACGACACGCCCACGACACGCCCACGACATGTCCACGACACGGCTACGATATGTCCACGACACGCCCACGACGCGGCGCCCGCGCCGCACAGGAGCAGCCGACTACCTGCTCCACCGCCTCCCCCTATCTCCCCCTACCTCCCCCTATCTCCCCCTACCTCCCCCTATCTCCCCCTATCTCCCCCTATCTCCCCCTATCTCCCCCTATCTCCCGCACAGGAGCAGCGCGACTACCTGCTCCACTCTTGCCTCTGGCAGCTCATCGACCCGGCCGAGGCGGGAGATAGGGGGAGATAGGGGGAGATGGGGGGGGATGGGGGGAGATAGGGGAGATGGGGGGGGGGTGGGGAGAGATGGGGGGAGATGTGGGGAGATAGGGGGAGATATGGAGATATGGCAGCTCATCGACCCGGCCGACCCCCCCCCCCCCGCGCGCGCGCGACAGCGCCACACGCGTCCTCGACACGCCCTTCTCCGCAGGTGGTCGGCGAGGCGGCGAGGCTGCTCCACTTCGAGACGGCGACGGTCACGCAGGCGGACGTGGCGACCGTCACCCACCTCTCCCCACCTCTCACCCACCTCTCCCCACCTCTCACCCACCTCTCCCCATCTCTCCCCACCTCTCCCCACCTCTCCCCACCTCTCCCCACCCCTCCCCACCTCTCCCCACCCCTCCCCACCTCTCCCCACCCCTCCCCACCTCTCCCCACCTCTCCCCACCTCTCCCCACCTCTCCCCACCTCTCCCCACCTCTCCCCACCTCTCCCCACCTCTCCCCACATCTCCCCACATCTCCCCATATCTCCAGGCGGACGTGGCGACCGTCACTCGCCCCTTCGAGCTGACTCTCTCGAGCGACTCCGAGGTCGGGCTTCGGCTCGTGGTCCATATCTCCCCACATCTCCCCACATCTCCCCCCATCTCCCCAAGGTGTCGGGCTTTGGCTCGTGGTTCGACACCGCCTTCGAGGGCTCGCCCTCCTCGCCCGCCTCCTCGCCCGTCGTCCTCTCGACGGAGCCGCCCCTCGAGACACATTGGGGCCAGCAGGCGCTTCCTAGACACCCCCTAGACACCTCCCAGACACTTCCTAGACACTTCCTAGACACCCCCTAGACACCCCCTAGACACCTCCTAGACACCCCCTGACACCCCCTAGACACTTCCTAGACACCTCCTAGACACCCCCTAGACACCCCCTAGACACCTCTTAGACACCTCTTAGACACCTCCAGACACACTCCCTAGACCACCCTAGACACCATATCTCCCCATATCTCCCCATATCTCCCCCGCCGCAGGTCCTCCTCCTCCACCCGCCGCAGCTCGCCGCCGCCGGCGACCTGCTGCGCGGCGACTTCACGCTCGAGAGTGCCCGAGGTTACCCGAGATGACCCGAGATTAGGCGACCTGCTGCGCGGCGACTTCACGCTCGAGAGTGCCCGAGGTTACCCGAGATGACCCGAGAGTAGGCGACCTGCTGCACGGCGACTTCACGCTCGGCAGACAGCGCGAGAACCACCGGCTGCTCGCGCTCCGGATCCGGCTGCGCCACACGCGCCCCGCGACGGGCGAGGGTGTGTCCCCAGAGCGGCTCTATTCACAGCTCCACTATTCACACCCTCCTGCTGTGAACAGGCGAGGAGGTGTACCCAGAGCGGGTGATCCACTACAGGGTCGACTGACGCGATCGCGGAGAGCAGAGGCGGACTGCGGCTCGCAGGCCGGCCCTTTGGCCCTTCGATGCTCCGCGCGGGGCGGCGACTCCCACGCGCGGTGCGCGCGGCCGCGCGGCGCGGCGCGCTGGGCGCAGGCTGGGCGCGTTGCGCGGTCGGTGCATCGGTGCACAGCGACACAGTGCCCCTCTCTCGGTCTTGCTCTCAGCTCAAATGCCAGCTCTCTCTCTCTCTCTCTCTCTCTCTCTCTCTCTCTCTCTCTCTCTCTCTCTCTCTCTCTCTCTCTCTCTCTCTCTCTCTCTCTCTCTCTCTCTCTCTCTCTCTCTCTCTCGTTTCGTGTGCGTCGCCGCGCTCACTGACACCGCGGGCCGGGTTCTCTGACGCGGTTCTCCGTTACCGTTTGCCCATTCCACATTATTGCGTGGCGGCTCCGCGGAGCTCCTTTGCGCTTTGGCTCGGCGCGGGCGCGGGGGCGCGAATAAAAGAATATATTGAACAGCCCAGCGGGATATGTTCTGAACGGCTGATCGTTGCCAGCTGGCCAGCGGGCACCTCGCACCTCTTTGACCCATCCCTTTCGCTTTCCAGTCGAGTGGAGTCGAGCGGTCCGTCCACCTGACGGCCACGCTCCTTGCAGACTAGGTCCAGCCCAGGGTGAGGCAGATCTGACGTTTATCTGAAAGTATAGAGATGAGAGTGAGGTAGAACCGGACCCGGTCAAAGTCGGCGGTTATCGGAGGGGGGGGGTATGACGAAAAACGGCGGGCGCATTTGGGCACATGACTGGGAGAACTCTGTGGTGGACCCGCTGGGCGAAAGGAGCTCGCAGACCGTTGCAGCCTCACGATGTCATTTTGGAGAGCGGAGCGAGTGCGAGCGGCGAGCTGACACGAGCGCGCTCGCTGATGCGGCGAGGGGGCAGAGGCAGATGCCCGAGCTGCCGCCGTACGTGCCAGAATTTGACCTCGCGTTCATGTCTCAGATGCTGGGCGTTGGAGCCGTCCGGTCGGAGCTGCCAGAAGACCCAGCCACTGGCGACGACGAGACGATCATGCAGGAGGCCGCCGTCGACATTGCCCTCCAGCTTTTGACGGATGCGGGATGGCGAGAAGGACGCACGATGCTCGGGCTGTTGTTGCACTGTTAAATGATAGTTATAGTACCCCCTCGCAGTGGGATTGTGGGCATGATTTTTCGTCCGAGAGAGAGCAGAGTAGAGGCCCCAAGAGACCCGTCACATGGCCGCCCCGAATCATGCCCACAATCCCACCTCTCGGCTTCGACACGAGGGGAGACGAATTGCATAAAAGGGTCCCCCCTTGAAACGAGCGCCACCCTCCCGCCTCGATTGGACCAGTTGGTCTCCAAGGTTGGTCTCACCATGGCGGAAAAGCCCAAGGCACCCACGGTCCCGAAGCCAACGCCCGAGTTCCTGGAGAAAGCGAAGAAGGCGCAGGCGAAGGTGGCATACGAAGGCGGCTGGGCACTCGGCCTCGAAGGCGGTGGCTTTGCCCCTTGGCCGGCGTCCGAGGGCTTCTTTCGCGGGCTCGAATCGATCAAGGTCGGACAAGGCGATCTCGTACGGCACCACGTCGATTCGATCGGTGAGGCCGGGCTATGCGCATACTGCTGCCCGTGCTGCATTCCGCGAGTCTGCTTTGCTTTCCCCCGTGCGCTGTGCGGCCCGCTCAACAACGTTCTCGCGGACGTCTTTACCTGCGCTTCAGGAGTGATTGCGCTCCAAGTGATGGGCGTCGACGCAAACAAGCGGACGGCGCTGGACAAGGACTCAATCAAAGCCGCCAAGGACGAGAGCTTCTGCTGCGCCTGCTTGTGCGACCGCGACTTCGTCACCGTCAAGGACGGGTCGCCACCACCCTACATCAACTTCCGCTTCGTCGCGCCGGGCAGCAGCGGCAGCCGCGCTGCGGCGACGTACAAAGAGCTCGCGACGAACCTTGACAAGACTGTCCGCGACGAGGCAGGGTACGTGCTCGAGCCCGACGGCGAGGTTGTGCTCACGCCCGCACTACCGCAGTGCGTGACCGAGAAGCGAAAGCAGGAAGAGTACGCCGGGGTCACGTCGATGCTGTTCACGGCGACCCCCGATCGCGTGGAGACCAAGTACTTCGCTGGGCCTGTCCCCGCTCAGGGGTGCTGCGGCTGGCTGTGGGGCTGGCCGGCCCTGCCATTCCCGTCGACTGATGGGGATGAGGTCTCCGTGCCCTCGGTCAGGTCCGTCGTCCCCATTGCCCTCGCCACCGCCTCCCAGCCCGCCGCCGCCCTCGCCGCCGCCGCCCAGCCCGCCCTCCCCAAAGCACGCCCCCGCCCTCCCCACACCGCCACCAGGTTCAACTGCGGCGCCTTCCTCCTCAAGGATGCGGTGGCAGCTGGGACCAACGCTCTGGCGGGGTCATCAGGCGAGATCGCCGCCTCCATCTTGGGATGCCCTCCCTTCAGCTGGCTTCCGCCGAAGGTTCAGGAGTGGATGACGAAGAATCTGGAGTACTCGGCCGACGTGCCTCTTTATGGCTGGCCCGACGGCAACATGTCAAAGGCGCCCACCAAGCTGCTATTCGACGATTCGGGGTGCGCGCATTCCCCGCTCCTTCATTCGCCCTCTGTTCTCGCCACAACCGACCCACCGTTTGCGGCGCGTACAGATATTTGCAGTCGAGCAAGATTGCTCCGGCGGTCGCTCGCGGAGTGACCAAGGTGGTCAACATGACTATCCAGTCCTCCCCTGTGGACAATGTCGCCCTTTGCATGGGCTTCCCCGTCGGGCTTCCCCCTGGGCTTCCGTCAAGCGCCTACCTGTCGATGTCGGCGATCTTTGACGCCGGAGACGTCTCGCAATCCTGCTACCTCGACGAGTTTTGCAACGTGCCGGACAAGGAGACGGGCAAGTGCGACAAGAACTACCCACCAAAGTATCCCATACTAAACGGGCCGTACGGCTCGTGGGGCAAGCGCCCGGAGTACAAAGATGTTCGAGTCGACGACCCGGATGACAAAGGTCCATCTAGATGACAAAGCCACCCCCGCCGCCCCTTCCCCGCCGCCGCCGCATGAAAAGATATTCGAGTCGACCCTGCGGGAAACGCAGCCCCCCCCCCCCCCACCTACAGACAAGTTGGACAAGTTGGTCAAGTTGCCACCCAAGTTCGCCGCGGCCATCGTGGAGGCCACGGCCCAGTTCTTCGCCTACGACGGCGTCATCAAGGGCTCCGAGATCAAGATGCCTGACTCAAAACTGTCCATCTTCAAGAGGCAGGGCCCCGAGATCATCGTGTTCAACGATCTCGAAACGATCGAAAACAGGTACCACGGCGTCGAGCCTACCTCGTCGACAGGGAAGAAAGTCAACTTCCTCGTCTACTCGTATCCCAGCAAAGACTCAGCGAAGAATGCTATGCCGACGCAGTGGGCCCCTTTGGTCAGCGACGACTCCGGCAAGCCACCCGACCCAACAACCAACCTCGGCAAGTGGGGCTATGACGGCGACGGCAAGACGCAGGGCTACCTCCTCGAGGAAAAGCTCCCCGGCGACGAGCTGCCCCGGCCGACAATCCCACCGGTATGGATGACGGCGACGGACGACCCGAACTTGCCCTTTGGGCATTACAGCGGCGTGCTCAACCCCGCCTTCGCCAACTTTCCGAACTACTATCCGCTCGGGATTTTCCCTATTGAGGGCAGGTACCCGCCTGACGTCGCCAACCTGGCCGCCGACCTCGCGTGCGAACGACTTCTCGCACTCAAAGCCCACAATGTTCATGTTGTGACCCTTTCCCCTCTGCTGCACAGGTGCTGGTCTGTGCGCGCCGCGGCAAAGACGGTGGTTGAGTTTGCCGGGCACGAGCTCGCTGATTAGTTGGCGCCCGGAAGTCGCACTAGACTGTGCTGGCCGACCGCCCCACGCCTCTCGCCGCGTCCGATTGCCCGACCAAGAGCGCTACACATCTGCTCACACATCTGCTCGCTCGCGCGTTACGCCCGATTGTCGCTCGGCGCGCGACAAGCACATGCACATGTGCATGTGTGGTGTGGTTATCCATCGCGTCCGAGTCCCCGTCGTTCATGTTGATATAGATTGTCATTGAGATTGGTCCTAAACGACTCCTGGGTTGGCTGGCCCCGAGAGCTGCGTCTCGAGCTCCCGTGTGCCGTTGCCAGACGACCCCGAGCGTCGGCGCCCAAATAAGGCCCATCGCGCCGATTGCCGGGGAAGTCGATTCCAGTGAGTCTCAAAAAGGCCCATCGACGAGGTTGGGGTCGTTGCCCGGTAGGAGGGTGGCGGCCGTAGCTGCCCCGGGCTGGGTGGGATGCAAGGCCAGCTCGCAGCTGCTCTGCAGTATGTCACGGCTCGTGCCGTATGTCACGGGCTCATGTGGCTGTCGCGTGGCGATTAGGTCCGCTCACGCTCCGTCTGATTGTCGCGTGGCGATTAGGTCCGCTCCGGCGTGTCTCGTCGCGTGGCGGTTAGGTCCGCTCACGTCGTCTCGTCGCGTGGCGAAACCGATTCGGTCCGCTCCGGCGTGTCTTGTCGCGTGGCGATTAAAGGGTGAGGGACGCGACCCACTTCGCCACAGACGGTCCCGCGCCTCGCCGCTAAGACGGGTACACGACCGCGGCTTGTGTGCGTGTACCCGTCTTTGTCCGGAGTGAAAAGTCCAACGCGCTCGTCGGTGGCGGCTTCCCTCAACCTGCGCCGCGCTCGGCGAACCTCGACAGCGCTTTCGGTGGCATGCAGCTCTTTGCGACAGAAGCCTGGAGAGCAGCTCCTCTGCTGCTCACACACTCTGCACAGCTGACACAGCCTACTGTGCGGCTGCCACAGCTGTGACAGCGATGGGCTCGCCCTCACTGGCCCTCAGTCACTTGTGCTGCGGCTTGTGTGAGCGACACTGCTCGGCGACTGCCGGCACACTGTGAGACCATGGGTGTGAGGTAAACCACGCTATACCAGCGCTTGGTCACATCGGCCCCGAGGTCAGATTCTTCTACTCTGTTGATGACAACACTTGTCTACCGGCTGGAGCCGAGCAGGAGGGCTTGGCGCACAACCCCTTGGTCAACTCACCCTCCAGATTCGTTTTCTTTTCCTGTGGAGTTTTCTTGTAAAATTCTTTTCCTCGAGTGTTAGTGCCCTTGTTTGTGCCCTTGGCACCGTGGAGTGCTGGGGGGGGCGACATGGAGGATGTGGCCCTGAGTTATGTGTACGCCGACTCAGGGTGTGTGGCAGCCAGCTGGCTGTGTGTCTTGTGAGCTTGTTTGTGTCTGTGTGTCGCTCGTGCGTGTCGTCATCATCTGTCCAGCGTCCACCCATACCGCGTTGGTGTCCAGTCCGAGCCTGGCTGTTCTTCACCTTACTACCTACCTACCTAGTGCTAGCACGCGCCAGTCCGCACCTGTGTCGCGCCTGCAGTCTGCTGTGAGATAGAGCCTTGGAGCACTTGGAGCACTTGGAGTGCAGTCGCGCGTAAGTTCACGAGATGTTAAATTCTTTTCCGTAAGATTCTTTTCCGTGTGTTAGTGCCAGTGCGCGCCAGTCCCGTGCCCAGTGTCGTGCGAGGCAGCGTTTTGCTAAATTTCTTTTGAGTTCTAAAATTCTTGGTTGCAAAATTCTTTCCGGCGTAAAATTCTTTTCTTCGCGATGTCCAGCCCGCCGCGCCGCCGCTCGCGCCGCCTCGCCTCCGCCACCACCGCCGCTCCCTCGCCGGACGCGCCGCCGCCCGCCCGGCTCCTCGACCTCCCTAGGGAGCTCCTCGAGCGCGTCCTCTCCCGCTTCGACAGCCCCATCGACATCGCTCGCGTCGCGGCCGTCTCGCGTCTCTTTCACGCCTCGCTCGCGGCAGAGGGCATCCGCTTGTGGGCGCAAGAGCGCGGCTTCGAGCTGCCGGCGAAGCCAGAGGACGAGAACTGCGCCGTGCGGTGGCTGTGCTATTCGGCGTTGCTGCACGAGTCCAACCGGCCAGCGAGGGCGGCAGCAGGCGAACGGCACAGCGTCTTCATCGACGGCGAGGGGCGGCTCTCGTCGTGCGGGTCAGCGGCAACGGAGGGCGAGGGGGGGGAGGAGGAGGAGGAGGAATTTTCAGGCCTTCTCGGCCACGGCGAGGGCGTGACGCGGCTCAACACACCGACCCGCCTCCTGTCAACGCTGGGTGACGAGCGCGCCGTGAGCGTGGCGGCTGGAGATTACCACAGCCTCGCCCTCGCCGCCGACGGCGCGTCGTTTGGAGCTGGGGCGCAGGCTACTCGGGCGAGCTGGGCCACGGCGACGAGCAGAACCAGCTGCTGCCGAAGAAGGTCGAGGCCTTTGCTGGCCAGCGCGTCGTCGCTGTGTCGGCTGGATTCGTCCACAGCCTCGTCCTCACCGCCGACGGCGCCCTCTGGAGCTGGGGCGCAGGCTACGCGGGCGAGCTGGGCCACGGCGACGAGCAGAACCAGCTGCTGCCGAAGAAGATCGAGGCCTTGGCTGGCCAGCGCGTCGTCGCTCTGTCGGCTGGACGCAGCCACAGCATCGCCATCACCGGCGGCGGCTCCGTCTGGAGCTGGGGCGGCGGAGCCGGAGGCAAGCTGGGCCACGGCGACCAGCAGGCCCAGTGGCAGCCGAAGAAGGTCGAGGCCTTCGCTGGGCACCGCGTCGTCGCTGTGTCGGCTGGAGGCGAAGACAGCCTCGCCCTCACCGCCGACGGCGCCGTCTGGAGCTGGGGCCGTGGAGCCTCTGGCAAGCTGGGCCACGGCAACCAGCAGGACCAGCCGCTGCCGAAGAAGATCGAGAACTTTGCTGGCCAGCACGTCGTTGCTGTCTCGGCTGGACGCAGCCACAGCCTCGCCATCACCGCCGACGGCGCCGTCTGGAGCTGGGGCTGGGGATTCTCTGGCCGGTTGGGCCACGGCGACGTGGAGACGCAGCTGCTGCCGAAGAAGGTCGAGGCCTTGGCGGGGCGGCGCGTCGTCGCTGTGTCGGCTGGAGGCGACCACAGCCTCGCTCGCGCCGCCGACGGCGCCGTCTTTACTTGGGGCGAGGGCGAACGCGGCTGCCTAGGCCACGGAGAGGACCTGTCGATCCAGCTGCTGCCCAAGAAGGTCGAGGCGTGGGCGCCGGGGCTGTGAGAAGGGCGTACCTACCTCGGCTGCCACGACACGTCCCGATGTAGAAACATCATGGGAGCACCTTAGATGCGTCTGAAGACCGCAGGGTGGCACCAAACCGGGCGCCAAAGGTCGGCAGAAGGCGCCGAGGGGCCAAAATGGCCCCGTTGGGCTCGTTCCGAGGCTTGGACGGACTCTCTCGCGGCTGACTCGTGCGCGATATCGGCACGTGGTGATACACAGGCATCGGGCCGATGCCAGCGGCACCCGTTTTACGAGCCTCAAAGCCGCGAGCCGCCCTGCAGGCGCCGTTTTGGGGACTAGGTCCAGCCCTGGGTGAGCCAGATCTGACGTTTTGTATCTGAAAGTAGAGCTCTATAGAGATGAGAGTGAGGTTGAACTGACATCGCGTCAGATCCGTGTTTTTCTCGTCTTGCGGTACATCTCTCCGCTCGCCACCTCACGCTCCGCCGTCCGGCCATGGATGGTTCGATGGAGCTCGCCGAGCTCCATCGAACCATCCAACTCCGGTCACCGGGTCTGAACGCGCTCAGCCTCAGGAGGTACCAAACCGCGCGAATTCTGCACGCCTCGCTGCACCGCTGGCTTGACTGAATCAGGCAGCAGCAGGCTGCTGCTGTTGCCACAGCAGCAGTCTGCTGCGGCCCCAATACGCAAGTTAATAACCAGCATTGCTGCCGGGGGCATTCGAGCCGCCACAGCCGGTGTGCGGCTGTGCACTGCCACCTGCCCGCGGCTACGCACAATGTGCGCTCGCATTGGATGAGCCCTGCTGATGGACCTGCGTCGCCTAGCTGCACGAGAGCAATGCCGCAGGCGGCGGCCGTGGCATACACTGCGAGCACACTTGGTGCAGCTGCGAGGTGCAGCAAGAGCACGTCGTTCCTGCCTCTGATGCCACTCTCGCGGCTTGCAGCGCGTCACTCGCGCATGCTCTCCAGGAGCTATGGCGGGCGCGTGTGGGGCTGTAGCCTGTGTTTGGCCGGTTCTGACCCGTTTACTATCAGTACCATGCCTGGGCCACAAGAATCGCACACGGGGAGCAGCTCAGGGACCCAGTAAGCCGCGGAATCGCCAAATGTCACAACCCGGCTCACCCAGGGCTGGACCTAGTCTGGGGCTCCAGAGAGGTCCTGCAGAGGGCCCCGGGGGCGCTTTCGAGGCCCCAGCTACCAAAACACGCCTTTAGAATGGTCCCGAGCGGCTCCCACGACCCCCCCCAGCACCCGAGCTGCACGACACGACCGCTTGTTTGAACATTAGCGACACAAGTAATTAATGTTTAATCATGTGGATTGTGTCGTCGTGTACGTGTTGGGACTTGGCTCTTGGGGTCTGTTTTCTTTCTTTCTTTTGAAGAAACCCCCGGATAAAGAAGAAATGGGCATAGCGGCTTAAGGACTCTTTTCGAAAGGTACGGGTGTCCACAAACCCTGTCTCAGCAGTCCAACTTCGGGTACACGTACTTTAGTCTTTACGTACTTTTCGCTTACTGGGGAGAGAAAAGGGAGAGGGGTGTGTGTTCTCTAGGCCCCTAAAGGCCCTACGCGCGGCGTGAGAGCTCGGAAGCGAGCGTTGCACGCTCTCTAAGAGCTACATACACTGACACGAGTCACGACCCCGCGCCACCCCGCCCGCCGCCCCGCTCGTCGCCCGGGGCGGGCGTCACGAAGGGGGCGCCTCTGTGTTAGTGTCACGACTCCCGCTCAGACCTCGCGGCCCGCGCCACCTGAACGAGTGATGCTACTTCCGGCCTTGTGGCCTTGCTCACGGAGAGGCGCCGCTCCAGCTCCGCCACCTGCTCCTCCAGCTCCAGCTTCGCTGCGGAACGGTTTGTGTGCGCCACCTGCTCCGCCAGTTCTGTGGCCTTGCTCACGGAGAGGCGCCGCTCCAGCTCCGCCACCTGCTCCGCCAGCTCCAGCTCCGCTGCGGGACGGTTTGTGTGCGCCACCTGCTCCGCCAGTTCTGTGGCCTTGCTCACGGAGAGGCGCAGCTCCGCCACCTGCTCCTCCAGCTCCAGCTCCGCTGCGGACCGGTTTGAGGGCAATAACGGCATGGCATCTGAGCGGCGCTTCGGCCGCCGCGGACTCGGCTTGCCGCCCCCCGCCTCCTCCTCGTCGGACTCCACGAGCCGCTTGTGAGGCGGCTCGCGCCGCCGGCAGCAGCAGCGGGAGAAGCAGAGCGCCAGGAAGAGCAACCCGGCTACTCCCAGCGCCAACTCCAGCGACCGCTCAGGGACGCCCAGCTCCTTCTCCAGCTCCTTGACGACGGGCGCCACGGTCTCGTACCCCGTCCGCACCGTCCCGCCGAGCTTCTCGACGAAGTCGGCGTAGAAGGGTGGGGGTGGGGCGAGCGGCGGCGGCGGCGGCGTCGGCGGCGGCGGGGTCGGAGGCGGCGGGGTCGCTGGCGAGGGCGGGGCCGCGGGAGGCGAGAGAGGCGGCAGCGGCGGCGGCTTCGGTGGCGGCGTCGGAGGCGGCGGGGTCGGAGGCGAGGGCGGGGCCGCGGGAGGCGAAGGCGGCGGCGTCGGCGGCGGCGTCGGCGGCGGCGTCGGCGGCGTTGGTGGAGGCGAGAGAGGCGGCGGCGTCGGCGGCGGCTTCGGCGGCGGCGTCGGCGGCGGCGAAGGCGGCGGCGAGGGCGGGGCCGCGGGAGGCGAAGGCGGCGGCGAGGGCGGGGCCGCGGGAGGCGAAGGCGGCGGCGGGGACGGGGGCCATGGCGGCGGCGGTAGGGGTGGGTGGGGAGGCTTTGGCTGCTGCCCCGGCGGCCAGGGCGGCATCGGCGGCGGTGGGTTTGGCTGTGTCACCCCTGGCGGCGACGGCGGCGGGGGCGGCGGCGGCGGCGGAGGCGGTGGTGCAGGAGGTGGTGGCGGGGAAGGCGAGGGCGACAGAGGCGGAAGCGGAGGCGGCGGCGGAGGCGGCGGCGGGGATGGCGGCGGCGGGGACGGCGGCGGCGGCGAGGGCGGCGGCGGCGAGGGTGGAGATGAGGGCGGCGGCGGCGAGGTCGGCGGTGACGGGGGCGGCGCGGCTGGAGGCGAGGGCGGCGGCGGCGAGGGTGGAGATGAGGGCGGCGGCGGCGAGGTCGGCGGTGACGGGGGCGGCGCGGCTGGAGGCGAGGGCGGCGGCGGCGAGGGTGGAGATGAGGGCGGCGGTGGCGAGGTCGGCGGTGACGGGGACGGCGCGGCTGGAGGCGAGGGCGGCGGCGGCGAGGGTGGCAGCGACGGAGGCGGCAGCGGCGGCGGGTGTGAGGGCGGCGGCGGCGAGGGCGGCGACGACGGCGGCGGTGGGGACGGCGGCGGTGGCGGGGCTGAGGGCGGGGGCGGCGTCGGGGGCTGCGATGGTGGAGGCGGCGTGGGGGGCGGCGAGGCTGGAGGCGGCGAGGGTGGAGGCGAGGGTGGAGGCGGCGACGGCGGCGACGGCGGCGGCGGCGGCATCGAGGGCGGCTGCGGCGGCAGCGGCGAGGGCGGCGGCCGCTGGGGCGACGGCGAGGTCGGAGGGGGCAGCGACGGCGCCGGTGAATATATTTTTTCGTAGCACGTCGTGCCGCTCGAGGGCGTTGCGCCCGCAATCGCGTCCTCCGGTGCTGGCGCCTTATAGGTCTTGCACTCGACCTGACCTCCGACGAGCGCAGCGTAAAAGCTGTAGCCGACGCAGAAAGCGCCGACGTCGCAGGACCGGCGGCAAGTGGCGTGATTCTCTGCGTAGGAGAGCCTGTTGGACGTCGACGCGGAGTCGTACTTCCCAGGGCCGCCGATGCGGTCTACACACGCGCCAGCTCGCCCGAGGTACCAGACCATTTTCTGGGCACCTGCCGGCCAATCACGGCAAGAGAAGCTCCGTTCACACAAAAACACAACCACGACCCAAGACGCACAAGCTCAGACAGTCGAGAAAGGGATAGACCGCAACGACAGTCAGAAGTCAGCGCTGGGTCCCAGGGCGAATGCGATGACGGCCTCTAGTGTGAGCTCTAGCTAGTGAGCTATCGCTACTATATGCAGCGAGTTAGGAGCCAACTCTTTTCCTGGCTCACAAGCTAAAGATGTTCACGGGCCCCCACACGGAGGCCCGGGTACTCTTTAGCTGTACTCGTCTAGGCAGGGGTTGGTTAGGAGCCGACCGACCGACCCTTGCGTCCGGTGCTCACCGACGGCCGGGCGGGCCACCCGCCCACGCGCCGCCTACGCGCAGCGCGTGCGCCGCAAACTCGCCCGCCGACAGCGCCGGCCAGTCGCCATCGGCCGTCGCGAGAGGCCTGCCCGGCTGTCGCCGCGGGGCCCCCACGAACACCACGCGTCGGATGCGGTGCCGCGCGAACTCGCGCGCAAAGTGCACGCCCCACGCCCGCCGCAGCTCCGTTCACGTACTAAGGCTCTTTAAAAAGATTGATTCTCGCCCCTCTAAGTATTGATATTGAATATTGACAGCCTTCCCTCTAAGTATTGACAATATATTGACATATTGATCGCTGATTTTCACCCCCAAAAGCATAAATGTGAACATTTCCCCCAAATATCGCCTAGATGGTGGCTAAAATCGAAAGATTCGCGAGGTCAAAGCGATTTTGATGCGACCCAAGCGATTTTGAAGCAATTTGGACCCATTTTGAGCGGTTTTAGGGTGTTCCCAAGCCCGGGATGGACCTCACATCGCTGGATATATCGATATATTGAGCCCCCCTTGGCCTGCCCAGGCCCAGCTCCCTCTAAGTATTGACAATATATTGGAGATTGATCGCTTCTGTAAGTATTGGAGCAATATATTAGAGCCTTAGCGATTAAACGCACAACCCGGGCCCCGAAATCGCACAGTGATGACAGTGACATGCAACACGGGGTCCCAGGGAAGGCGAGCAAAAACCTTATCGCGCGCGCTAGACGCCGACTCGGAGTCCGCACCGGTCATGCGCGCAGCCGGAGAGAGAGGGAGGCGCTCAATCGCCGAACTCGGCGAGCGTCTCCAGCGTCTCCGCTTCGTACGCACCCTCCTCCCAGCAATTGAGCGCCTCCTCCACTCCCGCGCCCGCGCCCGCAGCGTCCGTGCCCGCGAGGATGGCAGCGACGCGCTCCTTCTGCCGAGCTCCGTTCACACAAAAACACACCCCGTTCCCAAGACGCACAAGCAAGCACAGTAGCTGCTCGGTGTGTGCAGCAGAGCCAAAACAGCGACGGGGGGAGGGGGTAGTCAGCCACAGGGCAAATGGGGGCGGGGGGCACTCCCCCTGGTCTGATACTGGGGTGTGACTGTCTCCAGTCTCGGAGGGGGGCTTGAAGCTAAGAATATTTTATTTTTAGGGTCATTGTGTAGAGCCCTGCTTAGAAGGAAAAGGTTTTCTGCAAGGTCCGTATGGCTCACCGTGTAGTCGGCCGATAGAGCGACATATCCTCCGTGCCGCCAATCGACGGCAACGTACCGTACCCGTATTGCTCTCTTGGGACAGTAAGCAGGCGCGCACGATGGTCTAGTCAATGCACGGCTAGAACACTATAGGGTCATTGTGTAGCCCTGCTTAGCTTCAAGCCTTGGATTCAGCAAGAGACCTCGAGAGAGCGTGCGTGTGCCTCTACTCGCCAGGAGAGTGACAGCCAGCGGGGGCGAGCCTTTGACATGACAGCAGGGGAGCGGCTCGATCGATCGACGGAAGAGGTCGAATTCGGAATCCGGAGAGACAGCCGTGCCCATGACGGCGAGCAGGAGCAGCATTGGGCTGCCTCTGTCTGTCAGTGTCACGACTCCCGCTCAGACCTCGCGGCCCGCGCCACCTGCGATCTCTGCGCCGACAGCCGGGCCTCCGCAGCCAACCTCGCCGCCTCCGCCGCCGCCGCCGCCTCCACGGCCGCCCTTGCCGCCTCGGCAGCCACCGCAGCGGCGCGGGCAGCCTCGGCAGCCGCTGCCTCCGCCGCCGCCTCCTCGGCCGCCGCCGCTTCCGCCGCCTGCCGCTCCGCCTCCTCCGACGCCGCCTTCTCGGCCTCGATCCTCGCCGCCTCGGCCGCCGCCTCCTCCTCCGCTGCCACCCTCGCCGCCTCGGCCGCCGCCTCCTCCTCCGCTGCCACCCTCGCCGCCTCCGCCGCCGCCTCCTCCTCCGCTGCCACCCTCGCCGCCTCCGCCGCCGCCTCCACGGAGAGGCGCCGCTCCAGCTCCTCCACCTGCTCCTCCAGCTCCAGCTCCGCTGCGGACCGGTTTGTGTGCGCCACCTGCTCCGCCAGTTCTGTGGCCTTGCTCACGGAGAGGCGCCGCTCCAGCTCCGCCACCTGCTCCTCCAGCTCCAGCTCCGCTGCGGACCGGTTTGTGTGCGCCACCTGCTCCGCCAGTTCTGTGGCCTTGCTCACGGAGAGGCGCCGCTCCAGCTCCGCCACCTGCTCCGCCAGCTCCAGCTCCGCTGCGGGACGGTTTGTGTGCGCCACCTGCTCCGCCAGTTCTGTGGCCTTGCTCACGGAGAGGCGCCGCTCCAGCTCCTCCACCTGCTCCTCCAGCTCCAGCTCCGCTGCGGACCGGTTTGTGTGCGCCACCTGCTCCGCCAGTTCTGTGGCCTTGCTCACGGAGAGGCGCCGCTCCAGCTCCTCCACCTGCTCCTCCAGCTCCAGCTCCGCTGCGGACCGGTTTGTGTGCGCCACCTGCTCCGCCAGTTCTGTGGCCTTGCTCACGGAGAGGCGCCGCTCCAGCTCCTCCACCTGCTCCTCCAGCTCCAGCTCCGCTGCGGACCGGTTTGTGTGCGCCACCTGCTCCGCCAGTTCTGTGGCCTTGCTCACGGAGAGGCGCCGCTCCAGCTCCGCCACCTGCTCCGCCAGCTCCAGCTCCGCTGCGGGACGGTTTGTGTGCGCCACCTGCTCCGCCAGTTCTGTGGCCTTGCTCACGGGGAGGCGCCGCTCCAGCTCCGCCACCTGCTCCTCCAGCTCCAGCTCCGCTGCGGACCGGTTTGAGGGCAATAACGGCATGGCATCTGAGCGGCGCTTCGGCCGCCGCGGACTCGGCTTGCCGCCCCCCGCCTCCTCCTCGTCGGACTCTCCGAGCCGCTTGTGAGGCGGCTCGCGCCGCCGGCAGCAGCAGCGGGAGAAGCAGAGCGCCAGGAAGAGCAACCCGGCTACTCCCAGCGCCAACTCCAGCGACCGCTCAGGGACGCCCAGCTCCTTCTCCAGCTCCTTGACGACGGGCGCCACGGTCTCGTACCCCGTCCGCACCGTCCCGCCGAGCTTCTCGACGAAGTCGGCGTGGAAGGGTGGGGGTGGGGCGAGCGGCGGCGGCGGCGGCGTCGGCGGCGGCGTCGGAGGCGGCGGGGTCGGAGGCGAGGGCGGGGCCGCGGGAGGCGAAGGCGGCGGCGTCGGCGGCGGCGTCGGCGGCGGCGTCGGAGGCGGCGGGGTCGGAGGCGAGGGCGGGGCCGCGGGAGGCGAAGGCGGCGGCGTCGGCGGCGGCTTCGGCAAAGGCGGCGGCGTCGGCGGCGGCTTCGGCGGCGGCGTCGGCGGCGGCGAAGGCGGCGGCGGGGGCGGGGGCCCTGGCGGTGGCGGTAGGGGGGGGTGGGGAGGCGAAGGCGGCGGCGGCGGCGACGGCGGCGGCGGCGGCGGTAGCGGGGGCTGGGGAGGCTGTGGCTGGTGCCCCGGCGGCCAGGGCGGCACCGGCGGCGGTGGGTTTGGCTGTGTCACCCCTGGCGGAAAGTCCGGCGGCGGCGGCGGCGGAGGCAAAGGCGGCGGTGCAGGAGGTGGTGGCGGGGTCCAGGGCGAGGGCGCCTCTGGCGGCGAGGGATGCGGGTGCCACCACGGCGGAGGTCGAGGCGGAGGCGGAGGCGGAGGCGGGTGCCACCACCACGGCGAAGAGAGGCTCATGCTGGTGTTTGCTGCCTGTGCAGCGCTCGTGGCTATCGGGCTCGCGCCGAGCGGCCGACGCAGCAAGGACTGAAGTCCTGTCTGCTATCCCGCAGCCGCCACAAGCTGCTATCAAGCTGCCGGCAGCACTTTGGTGACACCGAACCAGAAACATCTGTCAGCGCGGCGGGTTTTTTCCAAGATCCGCCGTTCACAGTAGGATTGTCGGTGTTCTGCTGCGCGGCTCGGCGTAACCGTGGCGGGCTTTTTCCTGAAATCCGCCGTTCACAGTAGGGACGTCGTTGTTCTGCTGCAGAGAGAGAGGGCGTCCTATGGGACCTTGCCCTCCTCCCGACTTTCTCTCGCGCGCGCGTGAACAGGGCTCCAGGCCCCAAATGACGTGTGAGTGTTAGAGTTGTTTGGTATTGCTAAACAACTCTCTATCTATCTCGAAAGTTGCGGTGGCCCGGTGCCGGTGGCCGGTGGACAGAGAGTGGGCTCTCTCGCGGGTGGGGCTGGGGGGGGGGGTCTCCGCACTGGTCCGGCACCACCGCACACACGTTTAAATTACCGCAAAATCCGCACGCGAGTGCACCGCAGCCTTCGTTGGTCCACACCACTCCCCGGTCCACTATCGGCGCTCTCACCCGCCCCCCCCGGCTCCGCCTCTCCGCGGCCCGAAAAAGAGCACCAAGCTGTACCTCGCGCCTGCCGTGACCCTCGTCACGGCGTGCAGCAGGCAGGGCCCGTGAGCCGTTCCATCTCCCTCCCTCCGGCCCACCGCCCACGCGCCGCGCGCCGCCGTGTAGGCGAGGAGGACGCCGCCTCCGTGCGCCTCGTCGTCGGACAGCGCGACGTTGACGGTGCACGCGGCGCGGTCGTAGTGGAAGGGCACCCATGGCCTCGCTCCCGGCACGTACCGCCGCACGATCACCTCCACATCGCCCTCGAAGCCGCGCCCGCCGCCGAGGGGCTCCTCGGCAGCAGGCGCCGCGCCCACGGCTGCCGCTGCCCTCGCCACGGCCGCCGGGAGCCGCCAGAGCGCGGCGACGGCGGCCGCGCCAGCGATGCGCTCGAGGCCGTCGCGGTCGAGCGTGAGCGACGAGGAGAAGGAGCGCGCTAGCAAGTGGTCGCGCAGCTCGGCCAGCTCGGCCGCTCCCTCGCCTCGCTCCCCGCCGCCGCCACCCTCGAGCGACGCGTCCACCGCTGCTCGCAGTGCCGCGCACGCACGAGCGTCGAGGGCGCCTGGCAGCGTCAGGAGCGGCGGGTCGACGGCGGCGGTCGGCGCCTCTGGCGGAAGGCCCTGCAGCATTTTCAGCATTCGCAGGGAGCGGAGCGACGAGCCGGGCGCTCCGCTCCCGGCTGACGAGTCGTCGAGGCGCAGCGCGGCACGAAGGGCTTCTGTTGGAACCGTCGAGGGAGGAGCGCCGTCGACGAGGAGGCGGCGTAGTGGCGCCGGGAGCGTGGTGGCGAGGTCCTCGTGTGCGGCCGCGCCTGCAGCGGCCGGTGCATCCATTTGCAGCGACGCCTCGGTGGGAAAGAATTTCACAACGAAAGGCTCTCGCGCACGCACGATTAAGGCGCAGACGACGGCTTCCTTAGAAGCCATCGTCCTCGCCTGGGAAAAGAAAGGAAAACCGCGCTGGCAGGGTCCCCACCTGCACGAGCAGGATTTTGGAAGGACGATCAGGGGGACAGGTGGGCTCTCCTCTCCTGCTCCTGACAAGGGACACGACAGGCTCGCAGCGCGGTGCACGGTGGAATCCCAACTCCACTGGCGGTCTCATCTCAGTCTAGGAAGCGACCTTCCTCCGGCTTCTCACCGGCAGTCTCTCACTACCACGGGCACACTGACACAGGGGTGGCAGGGGCGGCGGCATGAGTCTCCCACATACTATGCGGGCCTCACTAGAGGTGCGGCCTGCGCGTGTCCTCGCCCTTGGGAAGGTCTTGGGGGGGGGGGGAGGGGAAGGGGCTGTCTGTCTGTGCATGCATGCATGCATGTGTGTGTGTGTGTGTGTGTGGGTGCGTCGCAAGGCCTCCACACGTGTGCTCGTCGCCCACATCCTTGAACAGAGTCTCGCGGCCCGCGAACTCCGGCCTCCGGGATTCGCGGGTCGCCATGCAGGACGTTGGTCGACGGGCGAAGCGAGGGAAACGCAGAAATAGAGACCTCGAACGCGAAGCGTTGGCAAAAACTGATGTCTTGGCCTCTGATCGCGGGGATAAATATTTGGGTCTCGATATCGGACCCACAAGAGCTAACCGAAGTGGCAAAAACTGGCTCTTACATGGGCATGGCCGGGGTTTCTGCACCGAATATCGAAAGTGTTGGACGATAAAATTCTTTTCCCGCACAAATAAGGCGCCCAAGGCGCTTGGGACAGACGCATGGTCTACATCTGCCTCCTCCACGCTGGCAAGTTCTCGACGCCGGTGCAGCCATACGCGTCGGTCACGCTCGAGGGCGAGTGGGGAACGTCCTCGTGCATCGTGCGCGGGCGTGACGTGCGCCACTGCCCGCGCGACAAGGCGCAGGGCCGGCACAAGTGCTGGGAGCGCGAGTGCCTGGACGAGACGGACTTTTGCGCCGCGGAGTGGCGCACGAACTGGACCGAGGCGACCAAAAAATCCTTTTGGGGCTACGACCTCAACGCGACGGAGGTGCAGCCGCGGTGGCACAAGGAGGAGATGGCGCACACGTGCTGCCACTTCCCGCCCGCGCTGAACCTGCTCAAGGCGTCGCGCGACGCGGATGGGTGGGACGCCGCCCGGGCGCGCGTGGACCTGTGGGACGAGGACTGGCTCAACTCGAACGACTACCTCGGCGGCGCGTGGGTGCCGATCGAGCACACGACGGCGCGCGAGGCACTCGACCTGAACATCGAGGAGCACAAGGAAGACCACTCGCTCTCGGGGCGGAACCTCTCCCTCCGCGTCCTCGTCTCGTGGCCCCGCCCGGGCGGCTTCGCAGTCTCGCGCGAGTGGAACACCGAGCCGCGCAGGCGCACCTCCCTCCCATCACACCTCCCGCTCCCCTGTCGGCTCTGCTCCAGCCACCGCGCCGCCCGCAGCCCCCAAGCCACCGCGCCGCCCGCAGCCCCAAGCCACCGCCACCGCTGCCCGAGGCGCAGGTGGATCTCGTCCGGCATGTCGGCGACGACCGCAGACCCGCCCTGGGAGGAGCACGGAGCCTCCTTCGACCACGACGTCACGTCCGTCCTCGGGGCGCAGGCCTCCGCCACACACCCCTCCAACCCCTCCAACCACTCCACACCACTCCAACCCCTCCAGACCCCCCTCCAACCCCTCCAACCCCTCCACACCCCCTCCAACCCCTCCACACCCCCCCCAACCCGTCCGACCCCTCCACACCGCCCGCCGCCCCCCGCCCCCGTCCGGCACACCGCCCCCCCCCCCCACCCACCCCCCCCTCCGCCACCCCCCCCCCCCTCTCCCCCGGCCAGGACTCCTTCGCCTTCACCGACCAGCTCTGCGCTTGCGACTGGACCGACGAGCACTCGTGCCCCGGCCAGCCTGCGGGCAGCGGCCAGCCGCCCTTCGCCACCGACGACGGCTCCGAGTGCTTCCGCTTCTGCTGCCCGCCGACCGCCGCCTCCCGCTCCCTCCCCGTCGCCGCCCCCCCTCCCTGCGGCTGCGGCTGGACGTCGGACTGGGCCTGCCCCGCCAAGGGCGCTCCCGGAGCAAAGGGCCTGGCACACGACGACGGCTCGGCCTGCTACCAGTTCTGTTGCGAGGAGGGCGGCGCCTCCTCCGCCACCTTCTGGGCGCTCGCCGGCGAGCAGGAGGCTGCGCGCCCTTCGAGCGCCGCCGCTGCCGCGATGCCCCTCGGGGCACTCCCGCCGGCCGCCCTCGCCGCCCTCGCCGCCCTCGCCGTTCGCGCGAGGAGGCAGCGGCGAGGCGCCCTCGTGTAGAGCCGAGAGCCGGAGCGGAGCCCGCCCCAAACCTGTGGAGCATAGCCCGCCCCATACCTGCACCGAAACGCCTCTGAGCTAATGTGCCATCCGCAACCGTATTATCTGTAAGGGGGGGGGGGGGGAGGGGCGCGCGCAAGATAGCAAGATACGCGGGGCGAGATGTGTGAGTCCTGAATGACGTTGACGAGAAGGTATTGGCTCGAGTATAGCGAGCGAAGGGGAGTGAGTTCATACGGTTGAGTGTGTACAGGTGTAGAACGAGAGGAGAGTGTGTGAGAGCGATGGAACATGCCAAATGTGCTCAACGTGCTCCGTCTGCGTGTTGTGTGATCTGTGAGACAAACTACTGAAAATGGGGACCCCCACGCGCCCCAGATTTTACACTCTGTGAGTGTGACGTATCTCGGTTCTCGCGGACCCGCTTGTTTGAATCTACACACAATATACAAACGACGCTAAGCTTAAGCACGGACGGCACACACACGGGGAGTGTTAGCGCGGGTATATAGAGCGCCTCCTCGGCGCCTTTCTGCTACCCCTCCCCGCGAGTTCTCCCCCCCTCCGCCGTCCGAGCCATCTCCGCCTCGAGCATGCGCGCCATCTCCTCTGGCGGCGTCTGGCGGAGGCTGCCCCGGCGCGGCTCGCCAGACACCACCTCGCCCGTCACGTCGGCGGCGATGCCCGGCCAGAGCCTGCCGTCGAGCGTCATCGCGCGCAGCAGCGAGCCGACAGCAGCCTCGCCGCCGATCACGCCGCCGAGCTCCGCGCGCAGCCGCTCCGCGGTCGATCGCGCGCGCGAGCCGGCGGGCCAGCGCCCGTCTTCGCCCGCCGCGAGCGCGTTGAGGAACGGGCCGCTCCGCTCCCCAAAGATGGCGCGCGCCGCCTACAGGACGTGTCTCGGACGCGTCATGGGACACGTCCCGGCCATGTCCCGGACAGTGGAGCGCGTCCGCCGACTCGACCATGCGCGACGCGTGCAGCCACGCGATCGCCGTGGCGTGCTCGCGAGGGAGGGCAGCGGGGCCCCCCTCCTCCCCTCCCCCCTCCTCCCCGCCCCCCTGCCGCCGCGGCGGCGGCTGCGGCGGCGGCCGCAGCGGCGCCGAGCGCACCGTGCTGGCAAACTCCGTGGTGCCCTTCTCGCCGACCCAAAAGTTGAGCGAGAGGTTCTCGTCGCTCGCCCCCGCCTGCCGCACCTGGTGCCAGTGGTACCGCGGCAGCCAGAGCACCTCGCCCGGGTGCAGCTCCCCCTCGAGTGCGCGCGCCGCGGCGAGGGCGGGCGTGGTGCGCAGGTCCGGCTCGCAGAGGTCTGCCATCGCAAAATTGTCCATCGGGTGGCCGACCTAGCGGGAGATATGGGGAGAGATGGGGTGGCCGACCTGGCGGGAGAAATGGGGAGAGATGGGGTGGCCGACCTAGCGGGAGATATGGGGAGAGATGGGGTGGCCGACCTGGCGGGAGGAGATGGGGGGAGAGATGGGGTGGCCGACCTAGCGGGAGATATGGGGAGAGATGGGGTGGCCGACCTGGCGGGAGATAGGGGGAGAGATGGGGTGGCCGACCTAGCGGGACTTGCCGGAAGGCTCCTAGAAGGCCCCTAGGCGCTTCCTAGAAGGCCCCTAGGCACTTCTAGGACCGGGCGGGAGATATGGGGAGATATGGGGAGATACGGGGAGAGCTGGGGAGAGCTGAGGAGAGCTGGGGAGAGAGATGGGGAGAGCTGAGGAGAGCTGGGGAGAGCTGGGGAGAGCTGTGGAGAGCCGGGGAGAGATGGGGAGGGATGGGGAGATACGGGGAGAGACGGGGAGAGGATGGACCGGGTACGGGTAGAGCCGGTAGCTCTCCGAGGGCGGGAGGAGGAGCAGCCGCTTTGAGCCGCGCAACTGGGCGAGGAAGTTGTGCAGCGCGTCGTAGTGGCACGGCGTGACGCCGCCCCCGTGGCCGGCCCACAGCTGGGCCGTCTTGAAGGGGAGGGCGCCCGCCGCCTAGAAGGCTCCGAGAAGGCTCCGAGAAGGCTCCTCGAAGTTTCCCAGAAGGCTCCTTCAAGGAGAGGGCGCCCGCCGCCTCGCACGCCTCGCGTAGCCGACTGCAGCTGTGTCTAGGAAGTGTCTAGGGGGTGTCTAGGAGTTGTCTAGGAGGTGTCTAGGGAGTGTCTAGGAAGTGTCTAGGAAGTGTCGCACGCCTCGCACGCCTCGCGCAGCCAGCGCCAGCCGACCTCGCCCAGGTCCGCCGCCAGCTGCGCAGACCCGCTCAGCTGGCGGCACGGCCCGCTCACCTGGAGATATGGGGCGATATGGGGAGAGATGGGGAGAGATGGGGAGAGATGGGGAGAGATGGGGAGAGATGGGGAGAGATGGGGAGAGATGGGGAGATATGGGGGGGCACTCACCGAGCCGTCCTCCTCCTCGTCGTACCACAGGAGCGGCGCCTGCGGCACCAACAGGGCGGGGCACACTCAGTCACACCCGGGGTGGAGGGCCGCTCGAGCTCCTCAAGCCGGGCCTGCAAATAGTAGCGCCACACGCCACGCGGCCCGCCGCCCTCGCAGCCAGCCTCGCCGCCCTCGCCGCCGCCCTCGCCGCCACCGCCGCCGCCGCCCTCGCCGCCGCCCTCGCCGCCGCCCTCGCCGCCGCCGCCGCCGCCGCCGCCGCCGCCATGCAGCTGCAGCAGGCCCTCACTTCGCAGCGTCTCTACGAATTTTTGAAAGCTCATCGGCCGCACGCCGCCCTCGCCGAGTCCCTCGCCGTAGTGCCGGGCGTGCACAGAGACTCGGCGAGGCGCGAAGTGCACTGAGAGGGCGTTCTGAGGGCCGAGCGCATCGGCGAGGTAGTCAAAGCTCCAGTGAGCCAGCGACGCGACCAGCGGGCAGCCGCCCGTCAGGATGCACGGCTCTCCGCTCCGGAGGTGCTGCTCGACCAGTGGATCGTCCCATCGCAGCCGGGGGATCTGGCCTCGAACGAGCCACGCCGGACAGCCGGCCAGGCTTCGCCGCTCGCCGCGAACCCGCCGACGCGCGCTGCAGCGAGTGTGCGCTCGATGCACGGAGTGGGCATCGAGCATGGCTCCCGGGACACAACGCTGGCGGCGCTGCCACCACCGGCTTGGGAGGGCCAAGCTTTGGGAGGGCCAGGCTCTCTGGGAGAATCCGCCGAGCGGAGCGACCTAGCACCGCCTGAGCACCGCTGTGCCGCCCGAGCCACAACTTGCCCTCGCGCCAACCTCGTTTGATGGCTCGAGCAACGCAAGGGGGGAGGCCCGGGCCCCCCACTCACTCACTCCCTTCCTTCCAGACACACACAACCCGCACACAACCCCCACAGCGTGGACGACTGCGTGTTGAGAAACACCAAGCGGCGAGGCGAGGTGAAGGGGTAAGGGGCTGTGTGGGGCAGAATCTTCATCTCGTGACTACTCCATCTAGCCTGGGGGCTGGGGGGGAGAGAGAGATTTTTCAGCCAACAAGAAATGTGTCACACAGAGTGATTTGCGCTCGGCAGCTTGTCGACTACCAGCCGGAGCTGGAGTCGGAACCGTAGCCGAGATGGTCTTCGAGGGTGTCGAATATGTCATTCGCCTCGCTAGTGGAGCCGGTGCCGCATGAGTCTTGGTCGGAGGAGGAGTCGTCGGAGGAGCGGTCGGACTGCTCGCGCTTGTCGCGCCTGATGCGCTCTGCGAGGGGGCCGGGGTCGTGGTCGTCGTGCTCGAGCGTCGGGAAGACAGCGCGCCGTGCGACCTTCTCGGCCGTGCTGCGTGGATAGAACCAAGCGTTGACCAACCTGTACCGTCCGAGAGCGGCCGCCTGAGCGGCCTGAGCGGCCGCCTGAGCAGCCGCCTTTGCAGCAGCCTCCTCGGCCGCTGCTGCGGCGATAGCCGCTGCTTTGGCCTTGGCGCGCGTCTTGTCGTTTTGCCTTGTCTTCTTCTTGCTCTTCAGGTCGTCATCAAGTGACCGGCTGACTCGCCAGAGGTCGTGCTCTGGACGACTGGGGCAGGGCGACTCACGGGAGGAGGAGGGGGACGAGGGCGGAGGCAGGCACAGCTGCTCTCCGTTGACCTCGTGTTGGTGGCAGAACCCGATGGTTCCGTCGCAGCCGCGCACTGTGTCGTGAGGGTTGTAGAATTCGAGAGGGAATCGAGTCAGCGCTTCCGGAAGAGAGAGAGGAAGACGGGTCGAGCGCAAACAGTAGATGAAATCGACGACGTAGCCGCCGCCGCGCCGCCGCCCGCCCTCGTGGCCACCGTAGACGCGGCTGAGGAAGAGGTCGGCGGTGCGCCCGCTGGGCGGGCAGGCCTTGAAGAAGTTGTTCAGAGAAGTGCGAGTGTTGAGGCCGCGCGCAGCGGCCTGTATCTTGGTGATGAGGATCGTGATGATGATGGTGCCCTTGCGCAGCAGGAACGCGCGCATCGCCCGCTGAACGCGGGTCGCTGCGGCTTCCTGTGCGAACCCCAGTCGGATGTTCCGCAGCGTGGAGGTCATTGCTGCGATGTCGTCATGCCCAGCAGCCACCCCAGCCTCGCCAAAGGCGCCAGCGAGGCTGGGCAAGCCCGGCAGCTCTGGCGAGCCAACGCGGCCGGCAGCAGGCCCACCTGGGTTCGAACTGGAGGCCAGTCGATCGCAGCCGGGCGCTGACCCGACCGAGCCAGGCGAGGAGTGTTGTGGCTTTGGTCGATTTGGTGCCTCATAAGGCGTCGGCGAGATTGAAAGTTTTTGCAGCACGAATCCGACGCGCTCCGTCTCGTCGGCGTCAGTAGGCGCCATGAGGCCGTCTGAGGCCGTGGAGACGAGGCCGGGCGCAGCCGTGGCCGGCCGCGCGGCGGCGCCGGACAAGGCGAGCGAGAGCGAAGCGACCAGCGGATAAGGAGGATTCTCTCTCTCTGGGGGGTCGCAGAGGGGGGGGGGGGGGCAGAAGGAAAGATATGGAGGTGAGGCCAGCTAGTGTTGCGGTTGTTGGACACCCCTCCCGTCGTGAAAAAGGTAAGGTAAGGTAAGGTAAGGTAAACTTCTCCACACACACAAGGTGGTGGGGGGCAAGGGGGGGCTACCCTCGCGTCTCCACGTCTAACGACAGGAGCCCCACGGCATTCAAAGTGCAAGGCCCGGTGAAAAAGGTGGCGGGTCTCCTCGAGTCGTCGGGTGTGACTGTCGTGCATCTCCACTGACATATAGCTTAAAGCTCTCTCAGGGTTGCATTTTCATAGTACACTACACACTCAAAAGGCGCCCTCGATCCAGGCGCCCTCCAGAGCATGCCGTTGGCCGCGCGCGCGGCAAAGTCAAACCGCCCACCGAAGGCGTCATGATAGCCAATCCGCATGTGGACCAAGATCATACGCGCGGCGCCAAGCGCCGCGCGCGAAAGCAGGCCCCCCTATTACTGCGTCTCGCGCGCGATCGCGAAGCCCAAGACGCAGTGGCCAAAGTCGAGCGCCGCGATGCCGTTCGTGTTTCCTGCCGAGTCGAGGTGGTACCGCTCGTGGATCTCGTAGAGCGAGCGGACGAGGAGCGCCGCCCGCGCGCGGGCCGGCGCGGGGAAGAGCGAGTGGCTTGCCGGCGACCACGGCGCCGCCGCCCGCCGGACCAGCGCCGCCGCCTCGCCCGCGCCGCCCACGGCGCGCCGCAGCGGCGTCGGCTCGCCCTCGTGCAAGCTTGCGCCGCTGCGCAGGAGGGAGGTGGCGCGGGCGGCGGTGAGGGTCTCAAGGTGCGCGAGCGGCGTCCAGCCGCGGCTGGCGACCAGCCAGGCGGCGAGGTCGGCGTGGCCTTGGCTGTTTGCAACCTCCTCGGGCGTGCCGAAGGGCGTAGCGGCGCGGGAGGCGCCGTAGGAGGAGAGGAGCTTGGCGACCTCGAGGTGGCCCTGGTGGCATGCGATGAACAGTGGCGTGGCGCCGTTGTTGCAGGCTTGGTCGATCGCCGCGCCAGCCTCGAGAAGCAGCTGGGCGCACTCGAGCTGGCCCTCCTGGCTCGCGACGTACAGCGGCGAGAAGCCTCTGGCGTCTGCTTGGTTGACCGCCGCGCCAGCGTCGCGCAGCAGCTGGGCGGTCTCGAGGTGGCCGTTCTGGCACGCGACGGCCAGCGGCGTAAAGCCCTCCTCATCGGCCTGGTTGATCGCCGCGCCAGCGTCGCGCAGCAGCTGGACGCACTCAGCGTGGCCCTCCTGGCTCGCCGCGAACAGCGGCGTGGCGCCAGCCTCATCGGCCTGGTCGATCGCCGCCCCAGCCTCGAGGAGCAGCTGGACGCACTCGGGGTGGCCCTCCTGGCTCGCCATGAACAGCGGCGTGGCGCCCTGCTCATCGGCTTGGCCGACCGCTGCGCCAGCGTCGCGCAGCAGCCGGGCGATCTCGAGGTGGCCCTTGTAGCACGCGACGTTCAGCGGCATGCGGCCTTCAGCGTCTGCATGAGCCACCGCCGCGCCAGCCTCGAGGAGCAGCTGGGCGCATTCGAGGTGGCCCTTCTGGCTCGCGATGAGCAGCGGCGTGGCGCCGTTCTCCTTGGCCTGGTCCATCGCCGCGCCAGCCTCGAGGAGCAGCCGGACGCAGTCGAGGTGGCCGTTCTGGCACGCGATATACAGCGCGGAAGCGCCGCGCCCAGTCGTCGCCCCGACGCTCGCGCCGCCCTCGAGCAGCAGCCGCACCGCCTCGGCCTGCCCGTGACGGGCGGCCCAGGTCAGCAGCGTGTCCTGCCTGTCGGTGTCGTGCCGCGCGTCGAGCTGGGCCGCGAGCGACGTGCCGCGCGTCCGCCGCCCGGAGAGGAAGGCGCGCAGCCAGGCCAGGTCGCCCCGAGCCAGGTCTGCGAGGCGGGCTGGGAGGATGGCGCCGCTCATGCCGCCAGAAAGAAGAAAACTTGGCGCGGAAAAAAGCGCTACCTTTCAGGCGCGGGCGCGCGGGCGCGGCGGGCGCGCCACGGCATCGCCGGCGCTGGCGAGCAAGGGCGGCGAGAAGCTATCGCGGCGTGGGAAGAAGGCGGTGGCGAAGGAGGCGGGCGAGGAAGGCGAGGCGATTTATCGCGCGACGCTCGAGTCGCTGTTGGCGTCCACCGGTTGGACGCCGCGCGCCGCGGAGGAGATGGCGCGCGAGGAGCAGCGTGCGCATGTTCGGCAGATGCGCTGGGCAAGGGGACACGGACGGCCGGGGGGAGCCGGTCCGGTGCTTTGACGCGGAGGAGTACGACGAAGGCGACGACGCTTTCGACGCGCTCTTCGACGGGGGCTCGGGGGACGGGTGGGATTCCCCCTCGGGGGGCGGCGCTTTCTTCTAGGCGCCCGCCTTGACCCAACATAGAGGGCGCTTTTGGGTAATATATGTATGTATTTTAGGGATCGCGAATGTTGGACGGAGGGTGGACGCGTCCAGGGGGGGGTCAAGGGGGGGGGGTCGAGAAGAGGGGGGGGGGGGGGGTATTTCTTCGACCAAAAGCGTGACAGCTGCGGAGGGGCTGGAGAGCGAGTCGTAACACATCGGAGCACATCGGAACGCCCCTGCTAGCGACGCCTGGGCGGCGATGACGCCGCAGGCGGCGACCGCGGAGCACCGCGGGGACGGCGTCGACCGGCGTAACGCCCACCACGAGCGATCGGCCCGCGAGAGGAGCGAGCGCGAGGCGGGAATGAGGGCGTTCGAGCCGCCGCCGGACGAGGAGGGGGCGGTGGAGCACCTGAGCGCGTCCGTCGTGCTCGCGGCGGTGGAGGAGAGCGGGCCCAACTACCTGCTGCCGAAGGCGCCGGAGCCGGTCAAGTCGCGCCGGAAGCGGCTCATGGTGGACGAGGCAGCAAGGCAGGCGGGTCAGGTGATCCTCGAGACGGGCACGCGAGTCGAGATCTTCGCGGAGGATTCGGGGGAGGAGAGGTGGTGGCCGGGGACCATCATGGAGCGGACGGAGGACACCGACGGCCGGCTCGTGCACCGCGTCCAGTACACCAACTTCGAGGGCGATCGGTACTGGCACGTGCTCGACGACGAGCAGTGGCGCAGGGTGGCGGACACGGGGCCAGAGCTAGACCACGCCCGCGCTGGCGCTGGCGACGCGGCACTCCGCGACGGCGCGAGCTTGGCGGCCTCCAGACTAATGAGGTGGGACAACGCCCGGGGGGAGACGGCCGGCGGGGCGAGCGAGACGACCGGCGGGGCGGGCTCCGCCGAGACGACCGGCCAGGCGGGCTCCGCTCCTGACCTCAACTGGCCGGGGCGGAGGAGGGTGCGGCGCAGCGCCGCCATGGAGCTGCTTCGCACGCGGGACGAGGCCGAGCAGCGCGAGGCCAGGCGGCCCGACGACGCGCCCATGCTGTCGCAGCACAGCGCCACGCTGTCGCGTCAGCTCGTGATCGTGCGCCGCCGGCTGAGGGAGTACCTCGCAGACCTGGCGGAGGACAGCCTGTCGGTGCCGATGCAGCGCACTTCCCGCGGCCTTCACCCGACCATGCGGTGGACGGTCGAGTTCGGCAAGTGGCTGGCCACGACGCGGATCGTCGAGTCGAGGGCGTTTAGCTGGCACCTGGCCGAGGAGCAGTCGGCGGGACAGGCGGAGGCGACGGCGCGCAGCGGCCGGGGGTCGAACACGGTGTACGTCGCACTGCAGCACATGAAGAACCACGTCTGGCGCGAGCTGTGGCCCGCGATGCCGGCCGACGCGAGGCAGTACTGGCACTGGGTGACGCGGCGCGTGATGGGGATCTTCGAAGGCGGCGGCGGCGGGATGCGACAGGAAGCAGAGAAGGCTGGGAGGGGAGCGGGACAGGCGGCGGCGCAGGCAAGCGTCGCGCGAGGCGAGGGCGTGGAGCAGCAGCAGGCGGCGAGCGCGAAGGCGAGCGCGGACGCGACTCGGCAGGTGGAAGCGGAGCTGCGCGCGGGGACGACCCGCCCGTGCACGAAGCAGCACCTGTTCCAGACGGGGGAGTACCTGCTGCAGGACGCGCACCTCTCCGAGCCCTTCGAGGTGAACGTGGCCTTCATCATGAGCGCGTACGTGTGCCTCGCGAGGCAGACCGGCTGCCGGCCCGGGATGACGATGAACGACGCGAACGACCTCGCGAACACTACCAGTCACTGGTGCGCACCCACCGCCCGCGGCACCCGTAGGCACGGTGGGGTGGAGGGCGCCCGAGGGCCAGCGGGGCGGGCGCCTGTTGCGATGAGGGACACGGGTGAGGTGGAAGGCGCCCGGGAGGCGAGGGGAGGGGGCGTGAAGCGACGCGTAGGACGCGGATTGATACCGCCGGAGGCGTCTCGGCCTCACCCCTCACCCCGAGCCCCGACGCGCGATGCGGCAGGCACGAGGTACCGCCGCTTCGGATGAGCGACTTGCGGATCGACATGGACAACGAGCTGGGCGGCGCGCTGACCGAGGGCGCGTTCCGGGCGCTCTGCAGTAAAAAAAGAGGCATTTTTTTTACAGTGGTGTGGAAAAAGAAAAAAAAAGCCCAGCGCCGCAGGCGCCGGCCGGAGGCCGGGAAGGGATGGGGAGGGAAAAGGAAGGTTAGAAGAGGAAAGAGGAAGCTACACATGGCTCTACTTGCGTGCCTTCCGCTTGCCGAGCGCCTTGTCGGAGGATGCACCTGGCGAGCTGCGCGTCGAGCGCGAGCCAGGCGACGCCGGCGAAGCTGCACGTACCGCGGCGCCAACTTTGACTCGCGCCGCCTCGACGAGGCGGGCCACCGTTTCGATGAAAGCGTCGGCGCCGGCGGCGTCGCTCTCGAAGAGCTCGCCGCGCTCGTTCTCGTCGAAGTCGTACATCAGCGAGGTCATCTCTTCGAGCGGCACCCAGCGCGTCGCCGTGTAGCGCTCGCGTTCTTCATTGCCCATCGACTCGAAGACGCCGCGCACGAGGAAGCACGGCTCCAACTCCGCGTCGTCGATCGGTCCCTCGCGCTGCGCCATGGTCATGTCGACCGGGTTGTGCAGCCGCATGCCGAGGACCGCGTGAGCCTCGTGGATGAGCAGGCCGGCCAGGTCCAGGTCCTTCGCGCGTTGACGTCGAGCGCTCAGCGTCTTCTTGGAGTAGATGTCGATCCTCGGCTCGATGTCGTTGTCCAGGTCCATGACGCTCGCGTCCCACGACCACTGGACGAAGCCGAGCGTGGCAGCTGTGACGCGCTCGCTCGCGCTGAGCTGCTCCCAGCAGCGCTGGCACGCCGGCACGTCGTCGCTGACAGCGTATGCAGCGTCGGCCGCGTTGGCTGCTGCCGCCGAGCTCGAGCCAGCGGCACTGTTCCCGGCCGGCGCCTTGCTGCCGAACACGCTGGGCATGTGACGCGCGAAGAAGCCCGGGCTCATGGCGGTCCCAGCGTCAGTTGCCGTCGGTGCCGGCGCCGGCGCAGGAGCAGCCGCAGTCGTCGCCGCCTTCTTTGCAGCGCGTGCCTCTCTCGCCTCCCTGGCGCGCTTCTCCAAGAAGTCGGGGTTCTCTCGCTTCTGCTTGTCGTACCACGACTCGTCGGATGTCGCGGCGGCCTTGCCCTTGCCCGACTTGGGCATCTTGGCCGACAACACGCGCGCAAGACGGCGCAGCACGCCGCCAACACGCGTCAACACGCGTCAACACGCTCAACACGCGGTCAACACGCCACCACTGTGCAAACAGCGCCTTCCCCAAAAAAGAACACCGGGCGCGGTGGTCGGGAATGGCTGCCCGCCTCGCACCGGCGTAGCCCTAGCGCGCCACTCTCGTCGTATCGCTCTCATTGCGGCGTGGCGATGATTCGCCGTGCGCTCGATCTCGACCGCCCGGGCCTTCGTCGCAGTATCTCGCCCTCTTTTGCCGCCGCCGCCATGGCGGCCTCGGCACCGCCCGAGCAGACGGTCGCTGTCGCCGCGCTGGCCCCACCGCCCTCGGTGACGCTGCGGCTGCGCGGGGTCGACGGTGAGGCTTCGTGGATGCCTGCGGCGACACCGCCGCGCAGGACTCGCACCTTCTCGGTCGGCGCCTCCGCCGCCACGCCCCCACGGACGCTATTGGACCAGTACACCTCGCGCAAAGCGCCAGGCCAGATCGCTCACGACGAGCATCTCACAGCGCCGTCAAAGCCGGCGGGAGGCGAGCGGCAGGCGGAGAGGGACGCGGCGACGCGGCGGGAGCTGGAGCTGCGCCGCGCCTTCAAGGGCGAGAAGTCGCGCCTTCTCGCGGAGGCGGAGGAGGCGCGCGAGGCGTCCGAGACGCTGCGCGCGGAGCTGAGCAAGGCGCGACAGGAGGCGGCGGAGGCGCAGAGGAGCTCCGAGGAGCACCGGGCGGCGGCGGAGAGTGCGGCGCGCGACGTGTCCGCCGCGCGCGCCGAGGCTGCGCGGCTGCGGGGCGAGGAGGGCGCGCTGCGCGGCCTGTCTGCCGAGGCGCTCGAGGCGCTCGAGCGCGGTTCGCTCGCCGCGCTGACCGCGATCCGGCAGGCGAGAGAGGAGGCGGCGAGGCGCGCGAGGACGTGCGTGGTCTGCATGGCGGCCCCCCGCTCCGCCGTCTTCTTGCCGTGCGGCCACGCCGCTTGCTGCGCCGATTGCGTCGACAGCTTGCGCCGCCACGCCTCGCAGGCGGCGCAGGCCGCCGCGACTCTGCGCGCCAGCTCTCGCGCGCCGCGCCGCCGCCGGCCCCGCGCGCCCCGACCCGCCCGCGCCGCCCGGCGCGTAGGCAACTCGCCCACGCCTACGACTGCCCCATCTGCAAGCGCCCCGTCGCGTCCGCCCACCGCGTGTTTTGGGCATGACGCTCAACGGCGAGCGCCGCACTGCTTGGGGGCCGCGCTGTCGATTGTGTGTGTGTGTGGGGGGGGGGGGCGAGCCGCTTCTGCCCAGGCGCTTGGCGGCATCGCCTTGATCTTTGTGTACAATGCACTGAATGCGGCACCCCCCTACGGCTCTTGGCCGCGCTAACCGCTATGCCTAGATGGCTCGAGCGCGTTTGTCGGGAGAGAATCTCTTCTGCGACGTGCAGAGCAGCTGCAGTGTGCAGAGTCCAGCCCACCTTGGAGTCTAGACAAGCGCTCACCACTCAACGCGAGATATGTGTGGTACATGCTCATGCAGCTGCTGTATCGCCGTGTGCTCCGCGTGCTCTGCTTTTTGGATTTTGCCTGCGACTTCTACAATATACATGTGTAGAGCTGTCAAACGTTAACTTTGGGCCTAACAGTTGCACTATTGTTGGCTGAAAATCCTCAACGTTGTTCAAGTGTTCTCCCCAGCCCAAGCTGTTACTGTTTGTTACTGTTGTTACTGTTGTTCAGTGGTCAGCAAGCAGAAAATGCCAAAAAAACCGGGTAAAACCCGAAAATACCTGGGGTTTTCCAGGTATTTTCGGGTATTACCCGCACTGGACGCTGGAGATCGTCGTGGGTCACTGCCAGGCCTTCCTTATTTTGTTGTTCAGCTGGCCTAACGTAACGTTAGCTACTGTTGTTGGGGAGCCCCACTGTTGTTCTGTTGTTACTGTTAACACTAGCAACACTGTTCAGCTCTTAACGTTTGACAGCTCTATACATGTGCCTGTGCCTGTGGCTGCTGCCCTGCCGCCCCGTGCTGCATCCTGGCTGCAGGGTAGGCTCCGCCTCACTGCATCTCGAACTGGATTCCACGAATTGATTTTCCTAGCGTCGTCAAAGTGAGCTGAAAGTTCGCTCAAGAGCCGATGTCACCCGCCGACCGCCTCCCATCTCGCCGCTGCTCTGGCGGGGCGGCGGCGGGGCCTGGCGACGGCGCGCGGCGCATGTGCCGTGGCGACCCACCGGGCCGGCCGGCCGCGCAGGCGCCGACCGGTGATCGCCACCGCGCCCCGCCTCGGAACGCCGTTTCCGCTTGGCGTCCGAGGCGCTCGGCGTTCCCGCTGGAGCGCGAGATCGGACCGGGTCGGACGCTCCTTTTCTCGCCGTAGGCACGGCTGGCCGGCTGAAGCAACGGAAAAACAAGAATCGCACCGGTCAATCCTCTCCGGCCAGCCTCGGGCGAATTAAAGCCGCAAAAAATCGGAAGTTTCCGCCGCCCCGGATTCCACCTCCCTGGCCCTCCACGCCCCGCGCGCGCGTCCGTATCACCGCCGCAGTCGGCCTCCCCGCCCCGCGCGCTGTAGGAGCGGCGCCCACCCACCGGAGACGCCTTCCCCTAGACCGCCCGACCACCCCACCAGGCAAGTCGCCAAACGTGTGCGTCGCGTGCACCGCGAGCGGCGAGCGAGCGGTCGCCAACTGAAGCTGCTGCACGAAGAAGGCGTGGCCGTTGGTGACGTCGAAGATGGAGAAGATACCGACGAGCAAAGACAGACTCACGTTGGGGAGGCACACGTCATAGATGAACCGGGAGCCGGGATTGGGCCGCCTGGGTGCGATCGTGCGCTCGGAGGCCGAGCCCTTCCACGGCTTGTTGAAGCCCTTGTCCTGCGGTGGACCCCTGGCGCACCACCTCTCGGCAAACTGCCGGAAGTCCTTCCGCCGCGGCTCGTCCACCACCCAGCTGTTGCCGTCCCGGTGGCGGTCGTGGGGGCCTGAGCCGTCGAGGAGCTCATTGAAGATGGTCTGATCCTGGTCGTCGCGCATGCCGGACTCCATGCGCGACGCCCACTCCTTGAGCGTCGCGATGGCAACAGCCGTGGAGCGGACGGCGAGCACCCCCGTGTTCTTGTACGCGTTGACCATGTTGAAGCAGCCAGATCCAGCAGCGTCCTCGCTTGGATCGAGACAGTCCGTGGTCATGATAAGATCTGCGTGGGCATAGTCCTCGTATCCAGGCCGCTGCCCCTGGATCATTGGCACCGGGCTCTCCAGCCACACGCAGTCGGCATCAGACATCACGACATCAATCCCCTTCTGCAGGATGAACAGAAGCGACTCGAGCTTTCGCCGGCCGAGCGCGCGGAAGCCCGACGTGGACGTCGACGGGACGTACTCGCCGTCGAGTCCGGTCGCGGTGGACGACCAGTCGAGGCATTGAAAGCGCTCGGCACGGCACTGGGAGATCACGCCCGCGTCCATGGCAGCAACAAGGATTGGAAGCTGGAGCCGCTCGACGTGTTGCAACCAGTTGGTCAGCAGCTCACGCACCCCAGCTGTTGCGTAGGTCATCATGAGAATGCTTCCGTTGAGCAATGGCGGCAGTGAGGCTGGCGCGTGCACGTAGACCATGCCTCCCGCCACGGAGGTGCTGTTAGCAACACCACCAGCAATGGAGCATGGTGGCAAAGTCGGACGGGCAGAATGTGTCCAGCCTGAGGATGACGACGAATGTGCACGCGTGCCAGCGCCGGCCGTCGATATCCGCACGACGGTCAGCAACGCCAAGAGCATGACGGTTGCGCACGCCGCTCTCGCCAAACTTGGCATGTCACCGCGCGTCACTAGAAATAGGCGAGCACGGAGGGCACGATGGCGAGACAGGTGCTATCTCACGCCGTCGGTTGGGTGCATTACTCACCGACCCAGCCCGTGCACAAACCCAGAAGAGATTTTCTCTCTCTCTCAGTGTATGTAGCTCTTACGTACATTCCCGGAGGAGGACTGCTGACGGGGTTTGCGATGAGGAGCGATCCGAACGTGGTATTCGGGGTATTTTAGGGGCGACTTCACACCAGGATGGTGCAAGATAGGTCGCAACTGATCCAGTCCTCCCAGGGCGGGGGAAGTGGTCGCATATGCGCTAAGACCCCCACACACTAAAAAAAAAGCAGGATTGATTGATCCAGCAACGCGCTAAAGGTCGGCGCGCTTGACGGCTGCACTCCCAGTGCTCCTTCCCGTGAGCGCGCGATCGCGGATCGCTCGCGCTTGACGGCTGACTCAATGCCGGACGAGACGGGAGACACCAGCTCCACCACAGGCGGGTTCCGGTGCTGGATCTGCCTAGACGATGAGGAGGACTCAACCGGGATGATCGCGCCCTGCGAGGCGCGTGGCAACACACGCTTCGCTGCACGCCCAAAGACACGCCACCGCTGCGTCCGAGCCGCACGCGTCGCTAGACCGCTCACGCTCTGATCTCTGTCCCTCCCCTCGATCAAAGTGCGTCGGCACCAACCAGTTTGTGCACCAGCACTGCTTGGAGACGTACTGCTTGCAGTCGCTCGCTCGCCGCCCGTCGGCCAGCCTTTCGGTCGCGTGCCCCATCTGCCTCGCCGAGTACCGAATCGTGGAGCGGCCCGGCGCCCAGTCGGTCGGCTGGCGGGAGATGCTCAAGGTCGCATTGACGGACCAGCAGCTGCTGCTGCGGCACAGCCAGTTCCTGCTCCTGCTCTGCCCACTCGTCGTCTCTGTCTGCCTCACCTGGGCGTGGCTCGTGGCCCACCTCCAGGACGTGCACGCGCACGGCGACGGCGCGCGCGCCCTGCTTCCCTTGGCCCACTCCTCCGAGAGAGTGGGAGTGCCTTCCCTTCCCCGCAGGGCCTCCGCTGCTGGCCATGTCCAAGCCGCCCTTCTTGTCGCACGAGCACGCCTCGGCGCTCCACTCCGCCGTCTCGATGCTGCCAGACTGTCTCGTCTCCGCCCTCCACGCGCTGCTGCAGGGCGCACACGAGCTGCTGCTGCAGCCGTCGTGGCAGGCGAGGCCCGGATTGCAATGCCCATAGCACACATGCACACGCACACGCACACGCGTAGAGCTGCCCCTGCGGCCCACGCCCAGCGATGCGACGCTCGTGCGGCCCTCCCCTCCTCCCCACCTCCTCCACCCCTCTCGTGCGGCCCTCCCCTCCTCCCCACCTCCTCCACCCCTCTCGTGCGGCCCTCCCCTCCTCCCCACCTCCTCCACCCCTCTCGTGCGGCCCTCCCCTCCTCCCCACCTCCTCCACCCCTCTCGTGCGGCCCTCCCCTCCTCCCCTCCTCCTCAAACCCTCTCGGCAGGCCGCGTGGCGCTCGCTCGACGGCGAGGCGGCGCCTGACCTCGCTGCCGACGCGGCATCCTCTTCCGGCGGCGGCGACGGCTCCAGCCTCCCCCCTTTGCGGGGCCGTGCGGAGGGAGGGAGCGCCGCTCTGAGCCCCTCTGGGGTGGGGACGTACGTAGGCTCGCTCCTCCACCCGGCTGGCACCTCCTGGACACCTCCTGGACACTTCCTGGACACCTCCTGGCTGGACACTTGCGTAGGCTCCCTCCTCCACCCGGCGGGCATCTCCCGGAAGTGGAGCCTGCTGTACGTCTGGCTGCAGTGCGCCCAGTGGCGCGCGGACCGAGAGCGAGAACGCCCCCCCCCCCCCTTCCCGCCTCCTTCCCGCCTCCCTCCCCGCCCCCCCCCTTCCCCCCTCACCTCCCCGCTCCTCTGCTCGGCGACCCGCGGGGTACGAAGTCCTCTCCTAGACACCTCCTAGACACCTCCTAGACACTTCCTAGACACCTCCCAGACACCTCCCAGACACCTCCTTGCATCTTCCCCGGTGCCAGGTACAAGGTCCTCTGCTGGCTGCTCATCATCGTGCTCGGCGCTCGCACGGCCTCCTCCCCTCCGGTGCGGGGGAGTGTCTAGGAAGTGTCCTGGCAGTGTCTAGGCGGCTCCGACGGCCTCCTCCCCTCCGGCGCGCGCCAGTTGTTTCGCATCGAGGAGCTGCTCCTCGCGTCGGAGGCGCAATTAATTAATTAATTAATTAATTTTTAATTGGAGCTGCTCCTCGCATCGGAGGCGCGCGCGCAGCTCTTCGTCTTCGGGCAGGCGATTCCTAGACACTTCCTAGACACTTCCTAGACACTTCCCAGACACTTCCTAGACACCTCCCAGACACCTCTTAGACACTCCCTAGACACCCCCTAGACACCCCCTAGACACCCCCTAGACACCTCCCAGACACACAGCGGACAGCTCACTTGCTAGGCGGGCCCTTTCGTGCTCTGCAAGCTGCGCCACTTCTTCGTCACGTGCGAACACCGGGTACCGCGCCGGCTGTGAGCAGCGTCTCTTCACACCTGTTGCTGTGAACAGGTGGGCCGACCCGTACCGCGCCGTACAGCTCCTCTTCTACTCCCTCTTCACGTCCCATGTCGAGGCGACGCGGCCGCCGCCCCGGGACGCCCCCCAAATGGCCCCCCCCCCCCCCCCCTGCCACACCCCTCCCACCACACCACCCCTCCCACCACACCACCCCGCCGCCACCCTTGCGCCTGCCAGGTCTTCCTCACCGTCACCGTCGACACTATCGTCGCGGCCGCCCTGCTGCAAGACTGGCCCGCCACTCCCCCCTCACCCCCCTCCCGCCTCCCCCGCCTCCCTCCCCTTCCGTTCGTCGCTCTCCTCCCCACCCGACGCCGCGTCCTTCTCGGCCCACAGGCTGAGCTCTCTCGCCACCGACATCCGGCTGTGAACAGCGTCTCTTCACACCTCGAGCCGTGAACAGGCTCAGCTCTCTCGCCACCGACATCCGGCTGTGAACAGCGTCTCTTCACACCTCGAGCCGTGAACAGGCTCAGCTCTCTCGCCACCGACATCCGGCTGCGCCGCAGCCTCAATCGCATCAGGCGCCGTCTCGAGGCTGCTACGGGGGCAGAGCAGCTGGCGGAGGAGCATTCCTCACCCCACCGCCCTCTCCGACAGGTGCGGAGCCCTTGCGGTGGCGCCGAGCAGGCGCAGCGCGGCCGCCCCCCACACGCCTGCTCCGGTGGCGGCCAGCCGACCGCACGCGGAGTGAGGCTCGCGAGGTCGGCAGCGGGGAGCGGCCCGCGGGCACGCGGGGAGGAACCTGTATATGGCGGAATCCCGGTGGTGGTGTTGGTTGATGTATGTGCGATTGCCGGAGTGGGACACGCGGTGCGTGCCCCTTCACCTTGAAGAATGAAGTTCGTATATAGCGCCTGAAAGGAGGAGAGAGGTAAGGTAAGGTAAGGTAAACTTCTCCACACACACACGAGGTGGTGCTGGTGGGGCAAGGGGGGGGGCAACCCTCGCGTCTCCACGTCTGACGACAGGAGCCCCACGGCATTAAAAGTGCAAGGCCCAGTGCGCGTGGGTGAGCGGTGTGTGTGTGTGTGTGTGTGTGTGTGTGTGTGTGTGTGTGTGTGTGTGTGTGTGTGTGTGTGTGTGTGTGTGTGTGTGTGTGTGTGTGTGTGTGTGTGTGTGTGTGTGTGTCACGTCACTGCATCCTCTGCCGGTTCCTCCCGTCGCCTCTTCTTTGTGTTCGGAGGAGACGGAGGGGCGACACGCAGGAGGGGCGAAATCGCTAACGGCCCGAGCAGAGAGGGCGACGGCGGGGCACGAGGGAACAACGGAGACGCTACCGATGACGCGAACCGAGGCACGGACGACGGAGGGGACGGGGAGGGCGACAGCGACGTCGAGGTTGATGCAACGGTATCGAGAGCGCCACCCAAAAGGAAGCGGACAACCATGGAGGTCACCGAACCCCTCTCGCCCGCACCCTTCACCTACCACGTCGCCTCCGCCCTCTCCGCCGGTGCCTGAGTCACTCCCCCCCTGCCGCGTCTCTTGCCGCCCGCGCTCGCCCGCGCACTCGCCGAAGGCGGAAGCGACGCCGGCCAGAGCACAGCAGCGGCGCGGAAGTCTCGGCCGCCACCGGCACCCCGCCTCCCCCAAGCACCGCGTCCGCCTGCGCCGCCTGCAGCGCACGGCCCGCCCGGTCCAACGCATCGCTCTCCGCAAAATGGCATTGCGCACAGCGGCATGGCCGCAACGCACGATCAGGGCCAGTAGCAAATGGGACCCGACGAGCTGACCACTAGCGCCACCCTCGTGCCTCTCTGCCCTCCGAGCCCTCCGAGCCCTCCGAGCTCTCCACCCCTCCCGAGCCCCACCCCTCGCGCTAGGGACCCTCTTGCCGGACGACACCCTCCGAGCCCTCCAAGCCCCCCGAGCCCTCCAGACCCCTCCATCCGCACAGCCCCTCCGGCCCCTCTAGCCCCCTCCGACCCCTCCAGCCCTCTCTAGCCCACTGGACCCCTCCCACGCCTCGCTTTTGGCCAGCCCTCCAAGCCCCCACCCCTCCTGGGCCCTGCCGCCTGACACCTCTATCGGTGGAGGGCTTTAGGTCACGGTCCACACTCCCGCCCTCCCGACCCCTCCACACCCCTACAGCGGCACCCCTACCCCTCCCGCCGTTTTAGGGCCTCCTGACCCGCACTCGCCTCCTCTCCCTCCTCCCATCTGCCTCCTCTCCCTCCTCCACGCCGCCTCCCCCCCCCCGAGCCGTGGCCGAGCCTCCTCCCGAGCCACTGGATCAAGCAGACGCCCGGGCCCTCGACCGCCCCCTCGCCCTCGGGGCCCGCAGGTCGACTTCCCGCCCACCCTCGACGCGGAGCTCGCAGCTGGGCTCGAGCAGCTCTTGCCGCCCGCCGGGCCGTCTGACATCCGCATAGACTGAGATGCGGTGCCCCCCATATGAGGCCTGGCCGCTCAGGGCGAGAGGGGGAGCAGCCTCGGTGCTGCGCCGCTGCCTTTGCGGCTCCTCCAGCCTCGGCGCCGCCCCTCGCCGCGCCGCGTGAGGGCGGCAGGCTCCGCCCTCTGCGCCTTGCAGGCGTGAGGGCAGCGCGCGCCCGCGAGCCCCGTTGTTGCACACCGGACTGTGTTCATCATGTTGGAACGTCTGCTTTGGCTGAAACATGCATTTGGCGCGGGCAGGCCGCAGCCCAGCCATGTCCAGCTCCGGGTCAGGAAAACGTGGTCCCTTCCGGGTCGGAAACACCCGCTCTACATTCTCTGACCCAGTGATCTCGACGGACGACAGCGAGGACTCCACCGACAACTGGAACCAGGAAGAGAGCGAGAGCTCCGTTTCGATTGGTGGCGGGAGTGCGGCGCCGGCGCCCATCGGCGGCGGGGTGTTTGGGGGCAGCAGCAGTGCGTCTGCTCCAGCCCCCGCGGCTGGTGGCTTTGTGCCGAACGCCTGCGCCGGCGTCGGCTTCAGCATGCCCGCCGCGGGTGGCGGCGGCGAGGAGGACGAGGGCGGTGGGACCAGTGCGGGCGCGGGCGCGGGCACCAGCAGCCTCTTCCCCACAGGCGTCGGAGCCGGTGGCATGCCGGCGGCGCCGGCTGCTTCCTCCTCTTCCACGCCTTCGCTCGGCGGCACCCGCGCGGCTTCGCCCTTTGGCGCTGCATCATTGGCGGCAAACCCATTCGAGAGCAGCGTGCCAACGTTTGGCGCCGCCGTGGCGCCGGGCTCGTCAGGCGCTTCCGGTAGCCTCTGGAGTGCGGGAGGCTTGTTCGGAGCACCTGCGGCGGCGGCGCCCGCCGCTCCGGTGCCAACGGGGGATCTCTTTGGGGCGATCGCCGCAGCAGGTGGGGATCTCTTTGGGGCTGCTGCGGCGCTGGCCAGCCCCGCGGGGCTTAAGCTGCTCGCGGCGGCCGCGCGCGACGATGTCGCTGCTGTGCGCAGCGCCCTCGAGGAGGGCGCCAACGTCGAGACCACTGGCGAAGGCGGCAACACCGCGCTGCACTGGGCGGCACGAGATGGCCGGCCAGCGTGCGTCAAGCTGCTGCTCGAGGCCAAGGCGTTCCCGGACGCGCGCAACGCGCTCTGGGTGACGCCGCTGATGGCCTCTTCGGCGAATGGGTGGGACGATTGCGTCGAGCTCCTCCTCGGCTTCGGCGCCGACACGGCGGCCCGGACGCTGAAGGGGCGGCTCGCGCGCGACTTTGCGGCGGACGGGCTCCGCCAGGCGACGGCCGAGGCGCAGCCCCGCTTCAAGCTGGTCCTCGAGCACCTCGGGGAGATCTCAACACCCGCCGCCGCGCCCGCGCCCGCCACGGCTGTGTTTGGGAGCCGGAGCAGCGTGCCAACGTTTGGCGCCGCCGTGGCGCCGGGCGCGGCTGGCAGCGTTGGTGCCGGCGCCAAGGCGACGACGCCGTCTGGCGGTGGCGGCGGCGGCAGCTTCACTTCTGGAGGGGCCGCAGCTCCGTCCGCGCCTTCCTTCTCCTTCGCCCCACAGGCGTCCGCTCCGGCGCCGAGCGCCGCCGCCTCATTCATTTTCACGCCAAAGTCTTCTCTCACCGATTCAGCGCCCGCGCCGTTCAGCTTCGCCAAGCCTCCGACAGCGTCGCCTTTCTCCTTCGCGGCGCCGGTCGGCCCGGCTCCAGCAGCGCCGGCGCCGGCGCCCGCTGCTCCCTTCTCCTTCGCCCCCCAGAACCCGGCGCCGCTGGCCCGGGCCCCACCCGCCGCCACCAAGGCTGCCGCGCCCAGCGCGGCCGCGTCAGAGGACCTGATCAACGCGGCCGAGATGGGCGACCACGACGCGCTCGTCAAGGCAATCGGCGACGACACCCAAGTCGGACATCTTCTCGCTCGGGGTGACGCTCTTCGACGCGCTGCTGTGCGGAGCCGGTGGCCTCCCCAAGACGGGCACCGGCGTGCTCGACCTCGAGCGAATGCGCGGCGGCTCATCCGGCCCGTGCGACCTCACCCTGGCGTACCCCGGAGGGGGAGAGGACCTAGCGGCGCTCCTACGGCAGATGCTCTCGCCGGAGCAGCAAGACCGGCCGACAGCGGCGGAGGTGGCGGACCGGCTGAGTGCGCAGCTCAACCAGCGGACCTGCCTCTTGTGCCACTGCCCCTACCCTCGCGATGAGGGCCTCGCGTGCCCCGTCGCCGGCGCCGCGCACTTTACCTGCGACGGCTGCATGGCGGCGCACGTGGCGCAGGCCGACTCGCTGGGCGGCGACGCGTTCGACCGGATCGTTTGCTGCGACAAGCGGTACACTGGCTGCACCGGCAGCTTCTCTTGGCAGGAGGTGATGGGGCACGTGGACGCGCTCTCTGCCGAGACGCTCCGCAAGCACCTCAGAGACGCGGTGGCGGTCCAGCAGCGCGAGGCGATCGAGGCCGAGTTCAAGCAGCGCGAGGCGGAGAGGGAGGCGCGGTCAGAGGTGGAGAGGGAGGCGCTCAAGGCGAGGCGCCATATCGAGGAGGACATCATGGCGCTCAAGTGTCCTCGGTGCGGGCAGTGTTTTGGCGCATTTGAGGGGTGCGCTGCGCTCACTTGCTCGCGCGCGACCTGCAAGGCGGGCTGCCGAAGCCACCTGGATACCGGGTACAGTATGTGATCACGAGTGAGGAGTACACCACGTAGGCGGGCTTCTGTGCTTTTTGCCTCGAGGACTGCGGCAGGGACGCGCATCAGCACGTGCCAGTCTGCAGCCTCAACCCGAGTCGCTCTCACTACATCGACGTGGCGGACTGGAAGCGCATTGTAGATGGCGAGCGGGGCCGCAAGCTGGAGGAGTACTGGTGCGGCTTGGCCGTCGAGGTGCAGGAGAAGCTCGCGACGGATGGCTGCGTGCGGCAGATCTTGCGCGAGCTTCGCCTCGGGCGCCTCTGTGCCACGACGACGAGCCGCTTCGCAGCAGGCCTCGTGCAGTTGCGCGGTATGGGCTTCTCGGACGAGCGAAAGATGCGGACGATGCTCGACACGTACGAAGGGAACGTTGAACGGGCTGCCGAAGCACTGGCTTCTGCATGACGTGTGTACGGTACGTTACGACCAAATCGCTGTTTGTACCTCGAGGAAGTTCTGCTTGCCGCCAACCCTCACCTTCAGCTGGTACTTCTTGCTGCCCCTCTGCTTCGGGCAGAAGGTCACGCCCCTATAGCCACTGTTGCTGCCGTGCTCATAGCCAGTGTGAGGCCCTCCCTCCCCGCCTGCCGGACAGCTGCGGCGCCAGCAGCAGAGGACGGCGCGGGTGGTGGCAGCGGCGGCGGCGGCGGCGCGGTGAGATCGCTGGTGTCCCTGCCCGCCTCCCTGCGGGCGTAGAAGAGCGCAGCCTGCTCGGCGGTGGCGAAGCGGCCGAGGAAGACTTTCTTGCCTCCAACCGTCACGTTCAACTGGTACTTCTTGCTGCTCGGGCAGAAGGTCACGCCTTTGTAGCCGCTGTTGCTGCTGCTGCTGGTGGTGAGCGACAAGCCCTCCCTCGCCGCCTGCCGTATCGCTTCGGCGCCAGCGGCAGTGGGAGCAGCGCGAGGCTGCAGCAGCTTTGCGGCGTCGGCGCGGCCGTACTCTGACCGAGCGTAGGCGACGGCCGCCTCTTCGGCGGTGTTGAAGAGGCCGAGATGGACACACTTGCCGCCATCCTTCACCTCCACTTTCTTTACACTGGCGGCTGAAGAACACGCACTTGTAGCGGTAGCCAGTCGCGCTGTTTTTGGTAGTGGCTGGGATCAACACGAGGCGCTCGGACGCTGTGTCCCGCGACGAGTTCGCGCAGGGCGTCATTGTGTCACAAAAGAATTTTACATCCTCGACACTGGGCACGGACTGGCGGTGGCGCGCGCTGGCACTAACACAGGTACACCACGGGAGCCGCCAAGCGACTCCTGCGCGAGGACGGCGAGGCACAAAAGATTTTTACAAGGGCACTAGGCACGGGACTGGGAGAGAGATTTCTGTTCTCTCTCTTATAATATACATTTACTAAGTTAAAGCTCCGTGCGTACAAAAACCGACACCGCACAGAGCCGCCCCCGCGCCGCGGCGCACCTCCAGCTCCACACACCATTTCCCGGCACCGTTACTGCGCGCGGCCGACACCGTGGCGGCTAGTTTACGCCCACTCTGACGGTACGGATGCACAGAGTACGAAAGCCGGATCGAACGTTCGTCGCTGTATCCGCGTCGCGCCGCTCTGCGGCGTCTTGGGCGACGAGACCTTGGGGCGACGAGACCCGGCCCGCGACTGGGCGGGCTCACGTGTGCGACTGCTGAGGGGCGGCCGGGCGGGAAGAAAAACAACGCCTCCCGCCGCCGCCGCAGCGCCTCCCGCCGCCGCAGCGCCTCACTCCGGAGGCCCTCACTCCCGCTCCTCGCCCGGCCCGCCTCCTCCGCCGACGCCTCCTCCTGCCCCCGCCACGCCGGCCGCCGTCGCGGCCCTACGGTTGCGGCGGCAGGCGACTCTGCCTCGGGGCGTGGGAGGAGGGCGAGAGGGTCTCGCCCGCCAGGAGCTAGAGGCGATGGGCCAGAGGCCAGAGGCTAGAGGCCAGGGTTGGGGGCGAGGGCTGGGGGCTAGGGTTAGGGGCCAGGGCTGCCGCACCAGGCGGCGGCCACGCGCTGCGAGTGCGCCATATCTCCCCACATCTCCCCACATCTCCCCATATCTCCGCACCAGGCGGCGGCCACGCGCTGCGAGTGCGCCTCGTTGGCAGCCGAGAAGGAGCGGAGGGCGCAGTACAGACCATCCTCCTTTGCGGCGCGGAACCGTCCGAGCTCCCAGAGCAGTGTGCGCGTGAAGGCGGCGTGCGCGTCCCGCAGCTCCTGCAGCAGGATGCTCGTTGTATTCTCTTACATCATCATCATTATTACTATTATTATTGTTCCCGCGGCTCCTGCAGCAGGATGCTCGTTGTATTCTCTTACATCATCATCATCATTATGCTTATTATTGTTCCCGCGGCTCCTGCAGCAGGATGCTCAGCCGCCGTGCCTCCTCGCCAAGCCGGTCTCGCTTCGAGTCCTTGGTCTCGCGCCCCTCCTTGGCGGACACCTGTTCACGGCTGGAGGTGTGAAGAGGCGCCGTTCACAGCCCGGTCTCACGCCCTCTTCCCTTTGGGTTGGCACGTCCGCGAGGCGCTTGGCCGTGCTCGTCGCGCGCTCGGCGAGCTTGCGGCGCAAGGCGACCTGTTCGACTTCTATTGTGAGGAGCGCGAGGCGGAGGGTAGCTCGGCGAGCCAGGGGCCAGGGGTGGGGGCTAGGGGCCGGGGGCAGAGGCCGGGGGCTAGAGAGGGGCCAGGGGTGGGGGCTAGGGGCCGGGGGCAGAGGCCGGGGGCTAGAGAGGGGCCAGGGGTGGGGGCTAGGGGCCGGGGGCAGAGGCCGGGGGCTAGAGAGGGGCCAGGGGTGGGGGCTAGGGGCCGGGGGCAGAGGCCGGGGGCTAGAGAGGGGCCAGGGGTGGGGGCTAGGGGCCGGGGGCAGAGGCCGGGGGCTAGAGAGGGGCCAGGGGTGGGGGCTAGGGGCCGGGGGCAGAGGCCGGGGGCTAGAGAGGGGCCAGGGGTGGGGGCTAGGGGCCGGGGGCAGAGGCCGGGGGCTAGAGAGGGGCCAGGGGTGGGGGCTAGGGGCCGGGGGCAGAGGCCGGGGGCTAGAGAGGGGCCAGGGGTGGGGGCTAGGGGCCGGGGGCAGAGGCCGGGGGCTAGAGAGGGGCCAGGGGTGGGGGCTAGGGGCCGGGGGCAGAGGCCGGGGGCTAGAGAGGGGCCAGGGGTGGGGGCTAGGGGCCGGGGGCAGAGGCCGGGGGCTAGAGAGGGGCCAGGGGTGGGGGCTAGGGGCCGGGGGCAGAGGCCGGGGGCTAGAGAGGGGCCAGGGGTGGGGGCTAGGGGCCGGGGGCAGAGGCCGGGGGCTAGAGAGGGGACAGGGTTGGGTTGGGAATCCCGTGTCGCCTGCTCGAGCGCAGACCCGGCGAGATCTCCCCCTCATCTCCCCATATCTCCCCATATCTCGCGTCGCCTGCTCGAGCGCAGACCCGGCGAGGCGGGCGAAGCGGCCGAGCCGCAGCAGCAGCTCGCTCACAGCGTTCGCCTCCGCCTGCGCCTGCAGCGAGATAGGGGGGAGATATGGGGAGATGTGGGGAGATCTCGCCTCGCCTCCGCCTGCGCCTGCAGCGCCGCGGCGACGGCGCCGGTGCCGTCCGCGGCGCTGCGGAGAGGCGCGCGCAGTCCGGCGACGTGACCGTGCGAGGAGAGCTCCTGAGGACACCAAGAATGGCATTCCAAGAAGAAGAAGAAGAAGAGTGAGGAGGAGGAGGAGTCCGCGCGGGCGAGGGCTCCTGGCAGAGCTTGCCGAAGAGGAGTGTGTCGGTCGCCGAGTCCTTCTGGCGGGAGGCCAGGCGCTGCAGCACGATGCGAGCCGCTTCGAGGTCGTCCCTCTCCGCCACGAGGTCTCCTGTGGAGAGATGGGGAGATGTGGGGAGGTGTGGGGAGGTGTGGGGAGATGTGGGGAGATGTGGGGAGATGTGGGGAGAGGTGGGGAGAGGTGGGGAGATGTGGGGAGATGTGGGGAGATGTGGGGAGATGTGGGGAGATGTGGGGAGATGTGGGGAGATGTAGGGAGATGGGGAGGTGTGGGGAGATGTGGGGAGATGTGGGAAGATGTGGGGAGATGTGGGGAGATGTGGGGAGATGTGGGGAGATGTGGGCGAGCAGAGCCTGGGGAGCCAGCCTCGCTACTACGGCCCTACCCTCGGCCGTCCCTCCCTCGCCTTCGCACCACCGCTTGACGGGATATATGCCAACTCTCGACGACTCTCTTCTACGCCCCCCTCGGCGCCCCTCGCCTTCGCTGCTTGCGAGCGGGTCCGCGCCGTCGACGCCGTCGGCCCGCTCGAGCGGCGGCAGCTCCTGGGCGGCGGCGTGCTCCTGCCGGGGAGGGGAGATGGGGGGGAGATGGGGGTGAGGGGTGGGGTGGGGTGGGGGGGGTCAAGTCCAGTGCGCTGGAGGCAAAAAAGAGAGAGAGAGAGAGAGAGAGAGAGAGAGAGAGAGAGAGAGAGAGAGAGAGAGAGAGAGAGAGAGAGAGAGAGAGAGAGAGAGAGAGAGAGAGAGAGAGAGAGAGAGAGAGAGAGAGAGAGAGAGAGAGAGAGAGAGAGAGCGGGACTCTCGCGTGTACGTCCCCGTCACCGAGCGCGTGAGGCAACGCACATGGACATGCCGGCAACAGTCAGCGGACAGCGGCGGGGGCGGCGTGGCGGGCGATCGGGGAGAGCGAGCCCATGCGAACGCTAGCCGCAACTCCGCGGCCCCCACGAGTTGGAGATCATACGCGTGTCTCCGATCCATCCTCGTCCAGCTCCTGCTCCACAGAGCCACAGCAGCAGTCTCCTCCCGAGAGGCACGAGCGTGCTCGAGTGAACGTGTCCTCGATCTCGTCCTCGTCCTCAGACCGATGCCGTCTTGGGAGACGCCGCCGAGGCTCGCGTCCTCTTCTTGGGGGTCGGCCGCACCACCCACTCCTCGATGTCGATCTTCTTGGGCAGCAGCTGGTTTGCTGTCCCGTGCTAGCACGCCGTCTCCTCCACCGCCCCAGCTCAGACGCTGCCGTTGCGTCGGGCGAGCTGTGGTGGTGTCCCGCCGACACGGCGGACGCTGCACCACCTATTCGGCGTGTCTCTCTCCCTGCCCAGCTCGCCAAAGTTCCACGCCCCAG